ACTGTCTTTCTCACCAGAGCTCCTCTTTTACACGTCCGCATAGGAGCAAGTTTTCTTGTAATTAAAGTGTTTCATCATGCAGTCAAAGTGTGATTCGGAAATCACGTCGCAGTTGGTCTCTTGAGGTTTCACATTGCCTCGTGTCTCTTTTCTCCCGCAGATCTTTGCTATCTTCGCCTTCTCGACATGTGGCAGTTACTCCGGCATGTTCAAGATGAGCGTGGAGTGTAAAAACCGGACGGAGAGTGACCTCGGCATAGAAGTAGAATTTGAATATCCCTTCAGGTACGTCCCACCACGCAAGTCACTTTCCCCACTGTAGTAGAAATAAGGAGGAAAAAAAACAGTCGGCACCAAACAAACTGTAAAATACATATTGTGCACAAGTATAAAAATAAATGACTCAAGAGAAAATACATCTTGCTGATGGTCGATACCTGTTAAGTATTTTGATATTGGGAGATGATTTGTTTTAGAACGACAACACACCTTGTTCTCTCTGCTCAAAGGTCAAACATAAACTAAAATAAACACAGTTACACAGTAAAGACAGTTAAAAAAACTAATTATGTATTTACCAAGGAGCATATGATCCCCATTCATTGGACCATGGGCAGTTTATAGAAGGTTAAGCTGCCGTTAGGTGGAATTTGTTACCTTTTGAGCAGAGCCAGACTTACGGTTTCCTCTTGTTTACGGGCGTGATGCTAAGCTAAGCTAACGTCCCCTGGCTGTAGTTGGATTTCCCATTGACAAACAGGAGAGTGGTGTTGATCCTCCTATCTAACTCTTTGCAAGAAAACAAAGAAATGTGTTTCCAGCTGTTTGGAACGGCTCCTTTTGAAGTGCTCTAGTCAACAGTTTTTTGTTGTATATTCCATTAATACAATTATATAATAAATGAAAACATGAGAAGAACTGTGTTACTATTTGACCTTTTTTTCTTCTTCTCCAAGCTCTTTTTGCAGTTCCATTCATTCTCATTTCCCTTTGTGTCTCTGCTCCCAGGCTTCATCAGGTTTACTTTGATTCCCCCACCTGTAAGGGAGCGAACAAAGAGCGTCTATTCCTGGTTGGCGACTACTCTTCCTCAGCGGAGTTCTTCGTCACCATCGCTGTCTTTTCCTTCCTCTACTCAATGGCCGCCCTCTCTGTCTACTGTTTCATACTGGAGAAGTACCGTGAAAACTGCAAGGGGGCCCAGATTGTGAGTTCTGTGATGCCTTACAAATATGATAAAAGTCCAACAACCGGTGTTACAGTAAATAACTTGTTAATTCTGTTGGTATTAACGATGTTGATGTTGTCTTGCGGATCCCCAGGACTTTGTTGTGTCTGCGGTATTTGCCTTCATGTGGCTGGTGTCTTCGTGTGCTTGGGCTAAAGGCCTGTCGGATGTGAAAACAGCCACCGATCCAGAGAAGGTCATCACTCTCATCACGGCCTGTGACGAACCAGAGAACCGCTGCCGCGAAGTCCACGACCCCAAGGTCTCCGGCCTCAACACCTCCGTGGTAGGAACCCCCGATTGCGTCACGCTGAACCGCACTGAAGCGCTTGCCGTGAGATCAGTACATTTCCTAACTCCAAACACCCCTCCGCTCCACAGGCCTTTGGCTTCATCAACCTGATCCTGTGGATCGGAAACCTGTGGTTCGTGTTCAAGGAGACCGGCTGGATGGCCGCTCTCTCTGGAACATATGTGCCATCACAGGAAAAGCCGCCCGCCCCCGATTCCTTTGCCCAGGGAGGATACGCCCAGCAGGACCCCTACGCCGGCTCCCAGGGAGGATACCAGCCCGAATACGGGCAGCAGGGAGGCTACACTGAGGAGGGAGGGTACAGCCAGGGCTATGAGCAGCAGCCCACCTCCTTCTCCAACCAAATGTGAGCCTGTCCAGCCAAACCACAGCAGGATGGTGAGTGTAAACATGTGTGGGGCGTACTGACTGGGTGCATTAAAAACGGGTCACTATACTGTATGTCTTTGAGGTGGTGATCTAAGTCTAACGGTGTTTTTATGAGGCATATAATGATATCCGCTGAATATCGACCTCACCTTAATTTAAATGGTTTATCTGGGTTGCTATTTCTATGGCGTGCACAGTTCTGCTTCTACGCCGATAAAGACCAATCATTTTTCATCTCATTCTATCTATTCTATTGAGGGGCTTTACTGTAAATGTCAGTTTGTAATTAACAAGCGATACATACAAAATATTAAATAAAATAAATAGAAGTAAAAACTAGACACTAGAAAACTAGTCATTTTCAGCCGTTGCTATGGTTACTGAATATGGTCACAAAGGAGCAACTTCAAAAGGCATTTCTAAAGTGTCCATAGCAGCTTTGACTTCCTGCATTCGTCCAGCCAAAGCTTTGTTTGTACATTCAACATGCAATTAATGCGATCATACGTTTGCCGTGTGCTTAATATGATCCTTGCCTCCCCAGGTTGAGCTCGTGATGTTGGAGTGTGGCTCTCGACCACCACCTGCATTTCCACACTCCTCTGTTTGTCTGTTTGTGTATCTGTGAGTTGACAGGCGGAGGGAGGGAGGCATGTGGGACACAAACTGGTGAAGCCTGGGGAGGGGGACAATATCGGGGGGGATGAGGGTCTTTGCTGTAACATGATGTTTATTCTCGTGATGTATTTAACTGTAGAAGACAACGGGGGATTGTCTGTTTGGTTATACGAGAAAAACTTGAATACAAATACCAAAACATTCGTTTTCGCAAACATTTAAGAGAAATCTTCTAATGGAAAAGAATTACATTCAAAAAAAAGTTGTAGTAATATTTAACTTGAGAGAATGTATTTGTCTGTGCTGTGTAAATATCAACATGCTGATATATATAAATATGATTATATGTACACAGTTGAATAATTGTGCACTCCATAAAAGTTGTTATACAACAAATGTTGAGCACAGAGTTATTCAATTGCATTTACTTTGGTTCTGTTTAGGAGCTCACATAGTTTAGCCTTTGCCCCCTCAATCCCCTTAAATTATTCACACTATCAGTTTGTCATATATTCACCTCAGAATCTATACAAATATTTTACTTCATTTTTTCTCATTGAGAAAGGGGCTAAAGGTTAATTAAAATACGGTGGCAATTGTGGAAAGAAGATAATCAATTTAAACAGTGAGACTAAGAGTAATTTATTATAACATAGTATATAGATGATAGTAGTGGGTTTTAAGTAGGTTGTTTTAATTTAATTTATGTTTTGTACGTATTTATCCATCAAATATCACTTGTCAAGCAAGGAGGAATTCCTGTGATACACAGAAGATTTTAAATCCTGACATATAAGATCAGAAATGACATACGGTCATGACAATTAGTGAGCATGGTACTATCTCATATTTGTTGTGCTGTTTCTGAAACTGCTATAGTGTGCTATCAGTATGAAAATTGTGAATCTGGGGCCAGTGAACATCAGATTTAGCGACGTGTGTGTTTGTTTATTTGTTCTGATTTATGTATTGGCATCAGTTTCCTTTCGTCTATGAACCCTCGTCCTGTTTCGATTGCCTGTTATGTGGTCCGGAAAGTTGCGAGATAGAGTCATACATAGTTTTCTAAATGGTGTTTCTATCACACTGTAATCAGTGACCTACATCCTCACGTTAACATTAACTTGGCAAATGAGAATAAAGTACATTAAAGACATTGCATAGTACAACACATATTATTCCGAGGCGCTCTGAACAATATGGATCCACGTGTACTTCTCCTGCATCCTCGATCCTTTATCTCCTCTCTTTCGGAAGGTGGACTTACTGCATGCGTCCTCGTATCCTGAAGCACCCCGAAACATGTTGGAGAGACAGAAGCTTAAAGCTGCAGGAAAGTTAGAACACACAGTAACGCTGTGCTATGTTTTTTGATCCATCATCGCGGTTGAAGCTCGGCACACACAGCAGCTCTGCTATATTCTACGCAAAGCACAAAGTAGGTGCTGCAATAATAACTTCCATTGCAGATATAAATACTCATCCTACTGCCAGTCCTTTGTTTGGATATACACGATTGCCGAAGGGTAAGAGATGTGTTTTGACTGGTAGTTTTGCTTCCACAGTACTCATCAGGATGAATTGTTGTACATCTCCAGTATTTATTGAACCAATGCACAGCCTTGGTTTCATCTTTTTGGCTTTGTTTTAAATCAAGGTTCTTTGATTCAGGCGTGTAGAAGCACCTGGCTTTCTCTCTTCCTCTAGTCCCCCCCCACCTCTGTTGTTTTCCTCTCTCTCTCTGTCTTTCTCTCTTTCACTGTAGCTCCTATAAATATGCTGAAATGAAATATACTCTGTTGTTAGTGGTGAATGATGTCTTGTGATACTCTCTCTACGCCTTTGGATAGTGCTGTGTTTATTGTGTATGATGTATTCATATTAGTATTTATGATAATGATAAGTCAGAGAAAAAAAATATCCAAGACTCTCCAAAATTCTGCTGTATTCTTATTATATGGGATCCATGTGAAACAAAATGAAATAAACTTGCGATTATTCTGTTCAAGGTTAAAATGTGCGCTTTTGTTCATAGGCTGATTGTCTGTCTGTTTACTTGTTTGAGCTACGTTTAGTAGTAATATATTTTAAGTAGCTTATATTTTTTATGAATAACTGTGAGCAAGAGATTACATAAATCAGAGCTGTTAAAAACAGAGCGAAGCAACAACAAACATGGGTGTAATACAACCTTGGAACATATTCTGTCGATTTAGTGATAGTGGCATAGAAAAAGGTGGATATTTAGATGGCCTGACATATTTCTAAAAACTGAGGCCCTAAACATCATTGCGGGCAGGCTGTGAGCCGTATGTTTGTCACTAAATGTTATTGTACTTTTAAAGAGCGTACACGTATTCACAACAAAATGAAAAAACGAAAAAAGAACATTTCCTTTCGCATTGAGACGTTGCAACAGGTCTTTCCTATTTTTTTACGACGGTCCCCTGAACGCAGCACTGCTCGACTCCGCGCGGTGCCACAGTTAACGCAACGGCAGTTCCTCCCAAGGAAAAAGTGAAAGGCAACGCCCCGCCGTCAGCTCCTCGCGCCCTCCCTCCTCCCTACCGAGCAACACCCGCCTCTTGACTGAGCGTCAACCAGGACGTTTTTCACGGGGAAGTTGATTCGTCCGAGTGGAAGGAGAGAGGAAAAAAAAGCAACAAGCTAACGGTCAACGGCAGAAAGCGCGAGACTCGCAGTGGAACTTGCTTCTTTGGCGCACGGAACCCGTTTCCCCCCCCACGCTAGCAGCTCCGTCCATTAACCCCGTGTTCGTCCAACACACGGTCTGGGAAAGTGATACGTTTAGTTAACTTTATTTACAGAATGGCGGATACAACAGCGCCCAGCGCCGGTGCCAGCTGCTTGGAGAGGCTGAAGAATTACGTGAAGACCCCGAAGGGGTCCATCCTCTCAGCGGAGATAGTAAGTCCACTGACCTGCGCACTAAGGGGACAAACACTTTTTTTTTGAGTCACCAATGCTTCGGTATTTATGCAGTTAAAGCTGTGCTCTTCTCGTTAGGGGAGGGTAGATAGATCGATACTTTATTGATCCCTCAAGAGGGAAATTTTGGCACGTAAGCACGTGGTCCCGGGGGGGTTGAGGGGTCACGGGGAGAGGTTAACGTCAGGAGTTTCCACCTGTTGAGTGTGCGTCACAGTTTTTCTCTCGTTTGACACCAAAGAGCCACATGCTGAGGGTCCACTCGAATGGTGATCTCCTTTTTCTACTTGCATGTAACGTCAGTCTGCACACTGCGTGTGGGCAGCGAGCCTTAATATGGTCACAAGAAAATTATGCAATTTCTATTATTATTCCTGCAAGTATAAAATACTCGTAACGTGAGTTTTTTTCTCGCATAGCTCGCTCTAGTTAAGGTGATTAATTATATACACATAAGAAACATCAGAGCAAGGCGTGAATCCTAATAGTCAGTAAGGTTGGAGTGTGGTTTCAAGTGTTCCACTTCCTGTCGAGATACAACATCTTCCGGTCTAGGTATCTAAGTATCTCATTTAAACTGTCTTTGATAACTGTTTTCACATCATTGCCTTTTGTTTTGCATTTCACAGCTGTGTGTTCTCTCTACACATGACTCGCTTTGACCTTAAATACTAACTATAATAACTTATTCATTCATATAGGTTTTACAAATATTTCATCAGATTCTCACTAATCACATAGCACACATTTTCTCACAGTAGCTTAGGGAGTTCTTGTAATCTAATTGTCCTTCTGTGTTATTGTGTGCCCGGCGTTTTTAAAGGTTCTGCTCTCATAACTCACTGCGCACACTTTAACTTGGGCTTTCAGACGTTGGTGTTCAGTGGTCCACTGTAAGGATTTTTCTTTTTTTTTTCCAGAAGTAATGGAAATTCCAGCCTGTGTGTGAAGGTTGTTCCTGGGAACAAAGAATGCGTGGATTTCTTAGCACACATGCTTTGGCGCTCCAGTGAAAACACTCAGTAGTTTGTTGTATCCTCACACAAGTCATGGGTTTTGCTGGAAGCCGACAAACCTTAAAGGAAGTCATCAGGGATTGTGTATGTCTGAAATAGCTGGCAGTGCAGGGAGAGGCCCGTGGGAGTGAAACCGGAAGACAACTGCCGTTACTGCTCGTTATGTTCCATCTATTGGGAAATGGGTTATCTGCCCACAGCAGGTTTGAGTCATCCAGTTGATAAACCAAATCTAAAGGAATTAATTAACTCCCTGTAAATTGTGACAGCGAGGTCGTCGTGGCAGTTAAAATTACTGTTGGATATTTTACTCTCGATTTTGTGAGGAGGCAAACTCGAACATGTTGGAAGTTGCAGAACAACCTAATGACCCCCGTCACACGCCCATGTAAAGTCTGTTAGTTTGTTGTGTAGCTTGGTGAAGCCAGTAGATGTAAGTCGAGATGAGTCATTCAATGAGCTAATCATTCCCGCTGCTTCTAATCTTATGAATATGAAGTGGTCACATTCTCCTAGGACTAATTGTTTTTTCAGGTGATCTCCTTTTTTGAAGAATATCTTAATAAAAAGGGAGGAAAGTAGGCAGAAGCATTACATTTGGAATATATGCCTCCATTTCATGATGAGTAAAGAAAGCGGTGGAACAAAACTGAGCATTTTCCTCTCTCTTTTTTTCTCTTAATACACTGAAGTGAGCTAAAGAAAGTGTAAGGGAGAAGAAGAAAAACCCCCGCTAAATGTACGTGACTTCCTGAGCAACCGTTGCTGTTTGGTGTGACTAGATCTCGGCTCCAATGTTGCTGCTGACTATAATTAGCCGAGCGTTTGCTCTTTTTAAGAGCGCAGCTCATCGTGCTGATGGTGAATAGATCTACAAAGCGGACCCACGCGCACAGATCTGCCGCTGTGGAAGCCACAAAGGTGTCAACACCTCGCAGCCTTTCTTGTTGAGAGGGACTCTTGTTGCAGTGGCTGTTTCTCTGTGTGAAGGCCTCTTCAGTGGCCGCTGGCCTGTATAAAGCCGCTTTTGTGTAGGACCTCGGCCTTGGCCGCCCAGCTACTCTACAGAGGCAGCCTGTGTCGGTCTCCAGAACACATGCGCTAGTGATGCATGTAGCCGGCTGCGTGTTTGTGGGTGACGGGAGGGGAAGCCTTAGTGACAGATGTAGGGCTTGTGTTGGTTATGTCACATGTGTATCATTTAGACTGCAGTGATTTGACACTGGCCCCTGAGAATGAAACATTAAAATGTGTTTAAATATATACATACGTTAGAGTCAGGGTCTGATTCATTAAATAATCATTTTATATTTCACACGATTATTTGAAAATGTCTCCACACCAGGTTATTTAATTCTAACTTGTATTCTATAGAAGATTTAGAGGTTGTATTTGTGGCCCGATGATTCAATATGTACAGGGTAAAAAGAGTACAGATAAGAATAAAAATAAGAGATGTAAATTATACTGTTGAAGAGTATTAATAGTTCAATAGTTGTTAATGATAGTGCTCCAACAAAAAGCATGAGTCAATTGAAAGAAACATATGAAAGACTTTTGAATAATACCAACATGCTGAGGTCTTTTTACAAATATTAAATACAATACAAATAATCAGAAGATAGTGTATAATGAAAATGTGCTAGTGGCAGCTCTTCGGTGTTATTGGAAAACTGTTTGGGTGGCCTCGTCATTTGTAAAGCAAGTTTTTAAACTTTCCTTCACGGCTGTCGTGCGCCTGTGTTGTGTGAATGTATCTGCCCACACAGTTTGACAGCAGCAAACAAAAGCTTTATTGAAAACAAAAAGGCTGATAGTGGTTGAGGGCGGTAGGCTGCCCACCTCAGTTTATGATTCCTGCACGTTGGCAGCGTTTCAGCGGAATGGACTGAGAAGAATGCCCGCTGACTTCTGTTTCCTCTCGAATGGAAAAATAATATCTTGATGGGACTGCATCTAAAGATGAGCCCAGTATGTGATAGACAGACTGACTGAGTGCATTATTGTCCATCCAGTGGTCTCACTGTGCAGAAAAAAAGGCATGTTATTATATGGATGGCCCCTTTTATCAGAGAGATTTACTGTCTGACGGACCGAGTGGACCAGAATCCTTTACAGCAAAGTACGACAGGAGAGGAATTTGGGCATTTGTTGCTTCTGTGTGATATATTCTCCATTCTAGAAATCATTAATCCCCAAGCTCTCTCTTTCCCCCTCGATCACTGCTAGCTGATCAGTTTCATCATCATCATCTGCTACGGAGCGTCCTACACTGGAGGCTACTCCACCGTGGCCATCTGCGAGATGATCTTCGCCATGGTCTTCTTCTTCATCTTCATGATGGGGATGGACAAGCAATTCCTATTGGTCAACTGGCTGTGGACTGTGAGTCCTCTACTATTGCACAGCAAGCACACACATACACACTCAGTGATGCAGACGTGTGAGTCATTGCTCAACACTTCATCTTCCCTCTTCTGTGCAGGATCTTTTCCGTGCCGGCATCGGTGCAGTCCTTTATTTGATTATCTCTCTGATCACCGTGATCGGGGGGGCCGGGGACGGCGCTCGTATCGCTGGCGGGGTGAGTTGAGCTGCCGTAAAAATTGAATGTGAAAGCGTTAATGTTATTGCTTGTTCTGACAATGATAAACTACTACGACTATCAATGAATCTGTTTTATTGTAGGTGTGGAAACTCATGATAGAAGTTTAGAGGGTTTTTTTCTGATGGGTTTTAACGAACGCACAAGGCCAGGGTCACTGAGCCACTATTGAGTAATATGAACATCTGAAATCATACATCATGCTTCCTTCCTGTTTGAGTTCTGTAAAGATCACGACCCTTTTTTACAATGTCGGACAAATAGTCCATGGGTCCTCTTAGTCCATAGTCCGTTCAGAGACACCTTGAGAGATATTTTTTTTAAACGTGCTTGAGTTTATCATAGCTGGGGGAAAAAAGGCTGCATTTGTAGACTGAGGACCACGGCGGCTGGCATCCATTTAGAGTGCTGCCAGTGTTTCTATTATTAATGCAATAAGAGTCATTGAACAAGCTTCATTGGAAATGAAAAGGAGCCAGAGTGATGTTAAAAATGTGCACAAAAGAACTGTGGGTAACACTGTATGAAAAGAAAGATGCCTGTAGTGTAAATGCCATTAGCACATGTGCACTTCTGTGGTATAATTTCACAATTATTTCCCCCACCACGACCTTTCTCTTATCTTGTGCGAACTCAGGCCGCCCATTTTTACGTCTGCTCATTTCCTGATACATACGCATAAGTTTGAGACTACTAAAGGCATCGCAGCTTTGACCCAAGGGAATAAAGATGTTTTCTGGTCTTAGATCAGAGTTTAATATATATATTTGTTTACATTGATCAATACTTATGTTCATGTTTACTGTGAATGACTATTTTTATGATTCTGATCCTGGGTTATTATTCCTTTTCAGGTATTTGGTTTGATCGCTGGTCTGCTGTTCACCTATGACACCTACACCCTCTTTATGGAAGTCAAGAGTACCAGGCAGCACACGGCAGCTTCCACCGGTGAGTGCGACCGATATTTACCTGATTGACACACCATAAAACATGCTCTATATCTATAACGACTTGCCAATGTTGTTGTTTTGATGCAGGTGTCGGAGTTTAAACACTCCGAGAACGCAGCAGAAAAAACAGATGAAGTTGTTTAGAAGTTAACGAAAGAGTCTTATCATAAAGAACCATGGACAGGCCACACTTTAATCCATGCCACTGTACGGTGAGAACAGGAGGGGGCGATGAGGAGCACGACGTAGCCAAAGTGAGCAGTACTGCACATCTGTACCTGCACGTCGAGACAATTATGTCTGCAACGAAGAACGTCCCTCACAAACCTTTTTCTTCCAACCTCAATGTACCACCGATTTCTGTTCGTGGTCAGCGATTTTTGGGCTGTTTTTGTACTAATTAGAGTTTAATCTGCATCATTAGAGACCTTATATGTCAACTAACTAAAAATATTATTTTAATTACAATTACTGTATCATCTTCCAGTTTCTTTTACCTAATTTAATTTTGCTCAGGTGGTTTCTTTTTCTTACATTTGAAACACATTTTAAAGGTGCAGATAATATTTACAATATTTTACACTGTCCGCAAATGGGGTCCAGTTTCTTTGGTACATGTTTTATTTTGATGAAGTAAAAAGAAAAAACATGGGAATTTTAGGATGTGACGGTTCCAATTTTGACATGTTCTGTAACTGTTTCCTGCCATTTGATTATTTGTCCAAGTAAAACGTTGCCTTCTTATTTTTTTAACATGCTTTACAAGAGTCTGCGGTGCAATTTCATAATTCAAAGCAGCCTTGCTTTTGGAAATAAAAGCCATTGTTTCTACAGAGAAATTCAGTTTTTCTTTAATCGTTTACTCATCTTACATTTTGACCATGATGTTTAACAGAGGTCTCTATCCGACAAGAACGCAATTGACTTGCTGTAACTTGTCTTCTCTCGGATGGCCACTAGATGGAACAAGACACATCTGAATTAAATTGCTAAATCAAAGTTCTCTCTTTCAATCGGTTGACCGTTTTTTAATTAACTTTAAAATCGTACAACTAGCAAAAACATACACACGGCTAGTTGTGTTTGCTCCAGTATCGCAGTTGGTATTCAGACATAATTATTAAGTTTGTCATTACCCACTTGTACTGACCCGGTGCTCTAATCTCATTGGAAATGTTTCTGTTCCAGACAGTTATGCACGCTGTCCCTGCTGTCTTGTCTTGAGATTACATTGCGTTTATGTAAATCCTTTCCAATGCAGGTTTTGCTGTCATTCAGTTGCAATAATCATCGCAGTACACAAGGCCCATGTCCTTTTTAAAGACCTACAGTGGAACAATAAGCCGTTGTTTGGGGCAACACTGGTTTGTTATTAAACCAATGCCCCATGTTAACGTTGCTGTACTGACAAGAGTTTTCAAATTACGTTCCTCGCCAACACACCTGTGACAACATTTCTATTTTGGAATATGTATTAAGCAGACTCCTTCTGTGCTCCCCTCGTTTAGAAACATAAATAAAGACTAAACATGGTATGAGTCAAAGTATAGGAGGGGGTTTCAGTAGAGGGAGAAGGCCTTGTATACACTTTTTGTAGTCTAGGTGAAGCCTTAGGTCAGCTGGCTACCTATATTCAGGTTTCTGGACGGGAGCTGAGGTAGAATCGTCAAGACACGCTGTCAGAATGGCCCCAGGCCTTCACGATAAAAGTGACTACGTTATCAATCAGAAATGAAATACTCTGTAGGTGAACGTTATGACCTGGAAAACATTTAGATACGCATTAAATACAAGCGTATACATCCATTCGGCTTTTAGCTTGAGTCTGCTCAAGAAATGTCGAAAATAGGTGTTGAGAAGTGTTTTACTCTGAAAGACCAGCCGGAAGCGATGCTTTTCAGTTAGGCTAGCTTGTCGGTTGCCAAAGTAGTTAGCCGAGGCGGAAGGAGGAGTCCGGGGCAGTCTGAGGGGGGGCATCATGTAGTTTGTTCTATACGGACTGTAACTGAAAATATCTACACCTCTGTGTTCCTTCCCTTCGTGTATTCATTGGGAATCACAATCGTAACATCCAACCGACACCATGTTCACGCGCGGGTCTAAAAAGCGACGTTCGAACCGCTCGGTAAGTAACTATGTTTCTGCTATTAACTAATGACTCCCGCAACTTATTGAACTCCTTTGCTAACCTGTTATGCCATCTACGTTGGTCAAAAAAGTATACTTTAGGATTCATTTCGCTTAGTTGGACAGCCTTCAGGTTGATTTTTAGTCTTAAGTCCAGCACTGAAAAAGCGCTCGAGCGGAACTTTGTCCACCTCCACCTGGACGTCGTTGTCGGTGGCCTGCACGTTTTTCCCCGGTAATAACGAGTACGTCCCGCTCCTTCCCGACACTTACAGTAAGTTATATTGTGCCTTTTACATTGCAACTATGTGCCAGAAAGTCCGTTCTTTTAGGGTTTTTAATCGTTTCGTGCGCCCCAGGTCGGAGTCAGGAGGGGTCCGATGACGTCATAGCTTCTCACCTGAGCAGGTTACTGTAACCTGAACGTGTATGTAACCCTTGTCAGGTTTTCATTACAACAACATACGCGGTTAGTTTATGTGCCCAAAGCCCATACGGTCTGCTTACTAACCAAATGAAGCTTGTTTTTGGACCAGACTTAACAGCTTTGTGGCCAGAAACATCTGGCTGTGCAGCACACTTGGATTTAATCCAGACAGCTGTGAATCCAACTCACACACTACTTGCTGTAGAAAATCTTCCATTTATAGCACTAGTCTTAGCTAACCAGACCTACAATCCTTTCCTCCTTTTAACTCTGTGTTTATAAATCTGTATAAACAAGTATTAGTATTAATACTATAGCACTATTCAAATATTTTACCTGGATAAAAGTAGTAGTACCACATTGTGTAGAAACTCATTTGAAAGTATTGCAAATTCAAAATGTTACATTATCAAAGCGGTTGCTACCAAATATTTCTAAAAGTAGTCATTATGCAGAATGGTCAGAAAAATAATACAATAATATGTATTATTGCACTATAATTATTGATGCATCTATGTGTTCATGACTGCGCGATACTAAAGTACAGTACTCGAGTCAATTGTGTGTAAAGAGTGTTTTTCACCACTTTATTTAGGCCCGGATAGGCCCTTGTGATAAATTACTTTACGGGGCTTTAACATTAAACACTCAGGACCCGGTGTCCTTCCCAACTTGTACTGTGAAAACAGTCAAATATTCATGAATACCATCAATATTTTATGTTCCAACACTCAATTACATCGCCACTCAAAGAGAGTTTGGAATCATGTTTCAACACAGATGTCAGTGTGCAAAGTACTCCCGTATAAGTTTTTTGACAAGTTTTAAGAATTTCTTATGGAATGTAATTTTGTGTATTATTATGAACGAAATAACCAATGAATGTCAGTAACCAGTTTTTATCTCAGACCTTATTTGGATTTAAATATAATCATTATTGTACAGCAGCAATAATTATAGCGTAAACTATCTTGTCAACATCATGTACGTTGAAACAGTTGTTTTTGCCAATGAATGATAAAATAGATTTCTGATTGCTGTCACAACCCTCTGGCCACAGTAAAACAAATGTAGCACGATGAAAAACTCACAACGATCACAAAAGCTTGACCCTCTGAGTGACACTTGTAAACCTCCTCTCGTTAAACATTGTTTTTCCGAGGCAGCCTGAAGCAGCGGCGCATAAGTGTAACATGAAGTGCTGTTTGATACCGGCCAGTGAGCACAGGGGCTTCTAAGGCCCCTGACCTCTGACCTTTTCTGTTAATGTTTAACCCCCAAAACATCGAAGAGAGGAGCGAAACTTGTATTACAACCATTGTCTTCTGCCCTTCAGCTCCCGCCTGATGGAGGACACTCACATGTACTGTGTCCTAACGACATCATTTTGTAGTAGATGTTGGTAAAGGCCTCTGATGGACAAACATGTTTGGACTTTCAGTTCTCTGGTTACTTGGTAGCGATCTCAAGCAGACCGCGGCAGGTCGGCGTGAGATCAAACCTCTCAAACCCACTTAGCGAACGCTGAGGAGCTGATATGAAAAGTCTGACGCCGGCCTAAGTGCGAGCATGTGAGCCGACGTGATTGTTTTATTTACTTTACCCACGGTCGGTTTAGAAGAAACTTCCTCGCGCCGCTCCCATCACATCCTTCACTCGCAGCACAATGGACGAAACCTCGTTGTTGGGCCGCATGAAGTGTCCTTGTGTCCTCAACGTGTAGGTCACGTGTCGGTGTGACACCTTTTAGGAATTGTAAAAAGTCGCTGGTTAAGGCTAATGTTCGAGGCTGGTATATTTATCAATTTAATGTAATTCCCTTTTGCGCACACAAGTGAATTCATCCAAAGCCGAGCACGACCGCATCGCGTGTCTAAGGTTGTTGATACGCGTTCACCTCAGCGGAATCCCCCGCAGCCCGAAGCAGGCATACTAATCGAGGGCGCTGCCCTCAGCGAGGTGATGAGGATAGATACCTAACGTCTAATACACCGCGCTTCACTGCAGCTTCGTGAGCGACGAGCTGAGCCACAGCATGGATTGTTTTTTCCATTCCTTAAAAAACTATAAATGCATCAGATACAGGAAAGTTAAGATTGCAAAGATTAATTTTATATGACCTCGAGAGTATGACTGAATTCTAGGGTTTTTTCAGAATTTCTAATCCTTTCATTATGTCGCGGTTTTACTGGTGCCTGACTTTAAACTACAGTTTTAGAATCAGTCGTGCTGAGTTTGATCTAATGTTGGCAAACGCTCACAAGAAGGCCAGAGGTGGCCACATCTGTTTTCTGTTAATTAGCGAACTTTCTTTCCATTTATTTACTATTTATTTATTTTTGATAATCAGAATGTGCAGTAACTATTGTCTTTACAATAAAAAAGATCACACAGGGCAAAAAGTGCAGAAAGTGACGCCGAAAACATGAATTTATATATATCTTGTTATTGCATTGAAAGTTACTATAGCTTTCCATGGTCCCTAAAGTATAATTGCCTGCCCCCCCCCCATCCAGTCGTCATGTCCAATTGACAGCTCGGCTACTGCGTGAGGAAATAACAACTGAAAGGTCCAGTCACCCAGAAATCATCCGTACGCTTTAATTAGCTCATCTTGTCACCTTTCGTACCATGCTTTGTTGACGACGTTTCTTGAATAACTAGTTCTGGAAACAGTCGTTTGCAAATAGGCTCAAAACATATACTCACATATAATAATTCTGAATAGCGTTTAAAGCCTGTTTAAAGATCTAAGTCAGAGTAACGCATAATAACGCATTAAGAACTGTGCATGGGAAAGGCAGGCTCGGTGTGAGGCCTTTTTCCTGAAGGCGCTGGTGGTCGGAGAGAGAAAAGTGGGACACCCAGCTGAGCAGGTACACACAGGTACACCCGACCCAGCTGTATCACATATCTGCCTTTTATTGCCGTGCTCGTTAAACTCTGCTGGCGCCTGTGTGTGTACTCTGCATCTCAATGTTTGTCTCCAAACCCAAAATACGCGCATCAACCTTAAAATTAGCACACTGTCCCCTTTCATTTTAAAAACTCGACAAAACATCAGCGAATATGGAGTCTTGCTCCTTTTCCTTTTGCTCCAAATGTTGGAATGGAAAACAAAAGCACCAAAGAATCCTGATGTTTCGTTATTTTTTTTTCCATGTAAAATAAAATCCTGACTTTCATTTTTTCAGAAAGTAGCAAAACATCTAATAAATAGCTGTAAGATGTTCTGTGTCCACAGTAAGCTTTTATCACAGAAGATAAGAAGTGCTGTAGAATAAAGTCACCGGGGGAAAAGAAAGTGTAGACAAAGCGACTACATGGGGAGGGAAAAGGTGCAGCTCTCATCCTGTGTCTGCTTCCTTCCTCTCATCTCTAAAAAGAGGCTGGTTCCTACACACACACATGTATATGAAAACAAGTTAGCTATGAGGCCATTGGTTTAGTGGTCGCCTAAGTCAGATGCACTGCTCAGCGTTTTTGCAGAAAAAGCAACACTTTTGAGACTCTACGCCCGTCTGAGCACGCTACACCCCTCAAACGCTCAGCCGAATGTGACGACTGATAAAAGCAAAAAGGTTTATTTAGTTGCAGAATTATGGATGAATTTCAAGTTTAAGCTCACACTGATGTGGGATTTTCCTAAACACACAACATCGAGTAATGCGCGGGGAAATCTGTAAGACGGCCCAATGTTCCCCCCAAACCCCAAACGCCGCTGTAACGGCTCGCTATGATGCCGAGGACTCTGCTTCCCTGCACGCCGAACCTTCCTCCGTCCGGATACCGGGAGGTGTGAAGGGTGTGAGCTAAAGTTTGTGGGTTTTTTTTTTGTTCTCCAGCAGGAGGAAGAGGACCCAGACAGAGGGCAGCCCTGTATGCGCTGTGGGGATCGGTGCCCCGGCTTCCGTGTCCACGGCTGGAGGTACGTCTCAAGCACCTCTTGGCTCCGCAGGAAATGTTTTTCTCCCTCTTTGTAAATCACCTTTGCAGAGCTGCGCGCTCTCCTGTTTCGTTTGGCATGTTGTGCAACTTCTTAATAATAAGCTACTTAAAAGGGAGGTCAAAACATTTTTTTTTTCAGGCCGTTAAACATGAGAGATGTAATACGATTACAACTTTAATGCCACTTTGTGAACAGAATCATAAGTGTTTTAATAGCTAAACATTTAACACAATCTTGCTGTTGACAATTTTTACATTCTTTCTCACAGCAGCTTTATATTCTGATAACGTCAAACAGCAAATAGAGACACTTTACCTCATCGGTGAGTCATAAACGACTAAATTTGTTGGTTAAACCCACGTACATGTGCTGCTTTGTGGATACATAAGAGCATGATGGGTGGATGTGTAAGAACAGACGTCAGGAGTGAAACGTGTGTGTGTTTGTGTGTGTGTGTGTTCGCTTGTCCACCAACATCGCCTCAACGCAAATCAGCTTATCTGTGATCTGTGTGCACACTGAGTGCAGATATACGTTAAAAGACAACCAGCATGGTCGGATCGCCACATGCCGCCACGCAGAGCCGATAAAGAACCAGAGCTATAGGGTCACGAGTGCCGTTAAGCCCCGGCAGTCGCAACCGGAGCAGCTGCCTTTAGTCGGAGTTGACTTCATCTTCCTGGGAAAACAGAAGCTCTACAGAGCAGAGTCCAGCCTGCGACGTGTGCAGAGCTCCACGGGTTCGGACGCAGCACCTGTTCCTCCGTCACGACGTCGGCCGATGCCACGCTTTCTTGACTCTGGTGCACGTGTCGTATGTTCGGCTGGAACACGAAGACATCTGCTCAGCCGAACTTCACACGTCTCCTGGGGTGTCCATATTGTGTTTTGGGCCGTTGAAAGAGTTTCTGTCTCCGCAGCAAAGCCTACAATTATTTCAAATGTAGGCAACAGCCATTTGAAATGTCGGCATACATACTGCACATCTCACACCTTTTTGTCAGAAGGATCCTCAATTCAGTTCTCTTTAAAGTTTGCAGTTTTTTTGCCTGTGTTCCCTAGAGCCCCCTTTCCTTCTCTCTCTCTCTCTCTCTCTCTCTCTCTCTCTCTGTCTGTTTGAGAATCTCCAGCTGGTTTGGTCTCTTGGTTCCTCTAATCCTGACAATCGCACTAATAAGATTAGGCCTCACTGCTGTGATAGAAGCCCTCTGGACCACTTCATAACCGCCCGCTGTCTCCCCCACTGTCTCTCTAAATCACTGCCGCCTTCCCTTTTTTCAATTGGGACATTTGTATGCGTTGAGTTTCAAAACACAAGTAGTTGCTCGAAGGAGCGTAGAAGAAGCGTCAATTGTCTGGACGGATTGTTCCATGTACGTGTTGCGTTTAGTGGATCCGGACTCCTTGTACATTCGCCGGCTTCGACACACAGCTCGATCGTTGAAGAGGAAAAACGGAGCGCAGATGGTTGCAGCATGGCTGAAGCCAACGGGGACTCTGCAATGGAGAGAATAAAAGGAAAGCGTGTTTCATGTAACCAAAAGACTGTAATTAGTTTAGTTGCCAGTATTCAGCTGAAGACAAAAGCTTGGATGTTGGGACGTAATCTCAAACATGTGTGCTGCAGCATCACCGCGATGCTGTGGGTTGCGGACGCTTCTCGCTTCAGGCTCGAAATGACTTTGGGAGATGTGACAAAGAGAAACGTCCTGCTCGGACGTCTCCGATTCCGGAGAAAAAGATTAAATGATTGAGATTTATTGGGGTCACTTTTTAAGACCCGAGAGTCCCGAAGCTAATTGCATCTTCCTTAACAACCCATTTACAATCACACCTTCCTCTGATGGACGAGCTGATCCCAGCGACCACAGACTCAGCTGCTGATGCTCGCCGAGAGGGGAAGTGATCCGTCTTCATCCTGAGCTTTTCTCAGGCGCAGCCTAAACCCGAGGTGGGGGGCAGATGGTGCGTCCGCTGCCCAGCAGCCAGTCAATTGAGTTACTTTTGACCCGCAGGTCCCCGCCACGCTTCAAAAGCCTTCAAAGTGGCCCTCGCCGTTAGTCTGGGTGGCCACGCGGCGATTACTCAGTCACTAATTAGTGGCAGAGCGAAAGGACAAGGCCCATCTGGTTCTTAAAATCCGATCTATGGAGGCCTTCGCTATACATCCTGCAGTGGGTTATAGATTATTACAGCAGCACACATTTGCAGCAGTGGATTATCTCATGACTGCTTTTAATTACTGTTTACCTACTCACAACATATGTGCACATCCCAACAAACGGGTCGAGACTCTCGGCCGTGAGTCAACTAACAATCATAAGATTAGTTATGAATTATTTTGCCTGAGCAGCAGTCCAAGAGGAACTTGTATCCTGCTTATAATCATACAGTGTGTAGCGCGTTTTGTCCTCTGAGACGTGTCCTCAGAGACGTGTCACACCGTCTGCTCGACGTTTCACCGGAGACACTTTGTTGTCGCGCCGCTTCGGCGCACGAGACTCTTTATGATTAATAAGCGGCGTTGATGCCACAAACGGCCGTCCATCTGCTGTCAATCAGTCGCAGCGCTTCCAGGAGAAAAGACGCAGTGAGCTTTCTCACGTGGACTCTTGACTGGTTAATTGTGTACTTGAGCTTAACATTTAAAGTAAACTTAAAAAGCCTCCCCTGCCTACACCCCCCCATGAGGATGTGTGCACCTTTTAGAGCGTTGTGTGTGCAGTGCATGGTTGTGTTTTGGGGCCTTTTGTTTGAGGAGGAGGAGGGTGGGACTTGGGGTGGTGGGTGGGGGGGGGGGGGACATTGAAAAGGGCCCAGCGGACGGAGGTATGAAGCACATGGAGGGGAGCCTCCCAGCAGCAGCCCGCTCCCTGTCGACGCCTCGCGGGTGCAAACCTTCACGGAGCGACGCGTCCGGATGCTGCCGGGACTCGGGATTGCAGCAGGTAACGGACCAACAATATTCCTCTTTCTGACAGGATTAGAGGGACGAGCAGCTCATTCAGCTGAGAGATGTGGGTAAACTAAAGGGTTTATAGGGTGTCTGTGTGTGTGTGTGTGTGTGTGTGTGTGTGTGTGTGTGTGTGTGTGTGTGTGTGTGTGTGTGTGTGTGTGTTTGGGAGAAGATTCTTTGTGATTATACGTTATTTAGTACACACAGCTGTTTGCACATGACTGTACAGTGTTGATGCTCGAACCTCGGAGGCTTATATGGCATCTTCATGGACGTCACGGAGCGTCCTCTCCTCCGTCATCTCCTCCGTCATCTCCTCCGTCCTCCATAGTTTACTTCATGAAGTGAATAATAGAATTCAATAGAGCAGCAGCATAACAACGTTAGGATGCAGCGATTTAAATTCAGAGGCAGATTGCTGATGAATGTCTCCTGGTGAAACTTTTGTTTTTTCCACAGTTTGAGTTCACACAGATGTTGTAAAGAAGTAGAGTATTATTTAAGTGATCACATTTGCCTGTGCACTTTTTATTCAGACCCTGACACTGACCCTGACTCTCCTATAATGAAATGTGGGACGAGTCTCTCCTTGCAATTGATGTTTCGCACACCGCTGGTCTGTGTTGACAAGCTAACAATTAGTTTCTCCACTGCCGGTTCCCTGTTTATTGGCGGCAGCTCCAATTTAGAGCCGCAGCAGATCAATGCATTAGTCAATTGACAAAAAAACAATTTCTCTTTACAAACAAAAATGCAAAGCATTCTCTCATTTTCTGTTTTAGTTTTGTGTAGATTTAACTGAATATGCTTTGACTTTGGACTGATGGTCAGATGAAATAATTAACAATTAATCTCACAGCCCTAACATAGTGCCGTTTTTACAGAGTACTAACTTTGAAACAGCTAACAGAGACCCATTTTTGGATATACAGATATATTGAGTTTTTCAGATCGTAGTCGATTACACATTTTCTTTCTTTCTCTGTCGACGTATTGTCTCATCTCTAAGTCTGACAGCACTTGCAGCTCGCAGTTGTTGCCCTAAACATTCTCATGACAATCACAGAATATCTGATTGCATTTCCCCTCCTTTGGAGTTCCCTATTACGTTTTGCATGTGCCAGAGGGAATGACGCCTAGCTGCATTACATCAGAGGCCTGTGAGTCACATAATTGATCAGGACAGGGCTCAGCACACCAGGCCTGAGTGTCCTGCAGTGTTGACGACCGCTGCTTTTAAGTCGACTGAACTCACGATTAAAGAACCTCTCGCTGAGAAAAGGAAAATTTAACGTGACGACAGCGATACAGTTTATTAAACTATTAAAAGGTGCTTATTTGTAGCTCGTATATGGCAACTAAACATCCCATCCTGTCATCATGTGGAGGCTGCTGGTGTGTGGGGGGCGGGGGGGGGGTAGGGTGGGACGTGGTTTATCTGCCATCTGTCCCAACGTGCTACGGTCTGCCTGTGTCCTCCTCCCCACTCACATAGCCATGTCCACCTCACACACGCACACTCAAATACAACTGGGGTCAGATTCCTGATAACTTGGCTTAGTTTAAGCCGACTTGCCGCGTTTACTATTATTTGTATTGGTTGCAGCAGCTTTGTGATCGTGGTCATATAAGGTGCCAACCACCAGCGGGGGTCACATAGAGACATTCAAATGTATTTTCTCTTCTATTGTCGGCTCCGTTACAGTTACCTGGTGATGAATGAACGGGGAGACTGAAGCCAAGAGGAGAACTTGTGCGGTTGTTCCAGCGGTTGTGTGTGTCTGTGTGTGTGTTGTAGCTTTTTTGTCGAGTAGGGGGGTTGGGTGCCGGAATAAAGCAGCTTTGTGTCTTGTGAACTTGAGCCACAAGTGCCAGCTGGCAGGCTGTTACGCAACCGCGGCGGCGGTGGACGCACGCGGGGCCGCGCGGCATGCACGACATCCACACCTCCCCCGGCGCCCCGCGGCGCTTTACTCCGACTCCACAAGCGGGGGCGCCCACCTCCGGACTGATTGTCCGAGGAGTCACAGAGGAGGCTGAGTGACAGGGATTACTGCCCCCATCTTCTTCTTCTCCTCCCTCCCCCCGTGGGATTGGCGGCCGGACTTATGTCGCCGACCTCATTTCCGGCCTGTTTGGTCGTGGCGTGTTTATCGGGATGCGGGAACCTCAGTGACAACCTGAGATTGTGTTAATGCATTATCACCGTGCCCTGTCCACAGCGCTGTGTTCTAGTTTAAAATCATCAGGAGATTTTTAATTCACGGTGTGAGAAGTACTGTTGTATTTGTCATTTTTTGGCTGCAGGGCATCATTCAGTCAAGAATTTGTGGGCTGCAACTTAATGTCTAAAACGCAGTGTGTGTTAATAAATAATAAGGTTAAGAGGTGGGAGGGCCAATATGAAAGTTACTACATGAGAGTTGCCACTTTTACAGCGCCGCTGTTCGGGTTTGTTTCAGCAGCTGTCCCAACGCCCTGATCTGTTTTCTTCATCTTGCTTAACTATGGCTACCAAAATGTTTATGCATGTTCTCTGTTCCCTCTGCTGTGTCAAATACATCTGGGAAACCAGGACCGGTGTGAATCTGAAGTTGGGTTTCCCCCGATTTCACACCGTAGTTCGCAGTCCGCAGGGCGGGAGAAACCCGAGTAAAAGTCCCCAGGGATGAAGCTCAAAGCCGCCTTTGTCCCCACAGGAAGATCTGCGTCCACTGCAAGTGCGTGCGAGAGGAGCACGCCGTGCGCTCGGTGCCGGGCCAGCTGGAGAAGATGATGACGAAGCTGGTGTCAGACTTCCAGAGACACTCTATCTCCGACGACGACTCGGGCTGCGCCTCCGAGGAGTACGCGTGGGTCCCGCCCGGCCTCAAGCCCGAACAGGTAACGAGGGCAGACGCAGAGTCGACACACAAAAGGAGTCTGATGATGCGCGCCGGCGCTTGGACGTGTTCAGACTCTCACGAAATGTTTTACGACTGCAGTTGAATAAATTGCTCTCTGAATGAATAAAGTCTGTAATTTATGCTCTTTGTGTGAACGCACTCGTGCAGGTGTACCAGTACTTCAGCTGCCTGCCGGAGGACAGGGTGCCTTACGTCAACAGTTCAGGCGAGCGATACCGAATCAAACAGCTGCTGCACCAGCTTCCAGCCCACGACAGCGAGGTAACAGCGCCGCCACTTCGGATGCTTTAGTCTCCGCCCCCCGGTGTACCGCAGCAGCGGGGCGACCTGCTGATGATATCACAATCGGTGTGGCGGGTCTACTAAATCACAGCACGATAATACATGATCGTTATTATTGATTTTGAGCTTTCCATTCAACGTCCACATCGAAGCTGTTAAATGAATGAATTATTCTTAGTAATTTTCACACATTGATCCTTTTCCTCTTAATCAAACATTTTGGATTGTTTCGATATTTTTTGGATTATTATACTATTACGTCTTTTCACTTTTGCATTAGTTTATTGTCATTTATTGACAAATTTGTTTCATTTAAATTCAGCTTTCATTTAAAATCATTTACAGCAAATAATTTACCATTACACATGTACACAATGCAAAACATATTTTGGATTATTCAAAACTACCCTTGTGTTTCACTGAGAATCCAGCTACCAATTTATGAATGCACTTTCATAAATTGGAAACTATTTTAAAAAAACCGAGGCATCTCAAAAGGCACTAAATGTATAATTTTAGCTAGAAAATACAAATAAGAATCATCTCCTTCGGAACTCAAGAAATAAATGATGTTTAGAAAGAATTTGCCCATTATGTCAACAACAATGTCTGTTCGTTCAGTCCCAGTACTGCAACACTCTGGACGAGGAGGAGAAGAAGGAGTTGCGTTTGTTCAGTCAGCAGAGGAAAAGAGAAAACTTGGGCAGAGGCGTCGTCAGACTCTTCCCTGTAACTATGACAGGAGCCATCTGCCAACAGGTAGAGCAACATTTTTATTTTATGTCTAGAAACAAATTCCCTCGCGGCACCGAGGCAAAGCTCAGACAACAGTATCCTTGTATCACTTTAAAGGAACATTCTGCATCTTTTCCGTGAAGGTCCTTCAATCATTCTTGATCGTAAATTCAAGCAATTTGCCTTCACTTTGTCTCTCTCTCTCTCTCTCTCTCTCTCTCTCTCTCTCGCTCCAACTCACGCACTCACTATGCCTGTAGCTCTTCTTTGCGTCCTACTTCACTGGTTGTTCATATATTGGCGCTAGATGCAAGAAAAACAGGAGGATTTGAAGATGCTTTCTGAGTCAATGCAGAACGCACTGAGGAATTTATTGCTTCAATCGACTACATTCACCATTAATACTCATTGAGCGTCCGTGTGAAAGGTGCCAAGTTTTTCCCTTTAATGTTGGCAAGTCAAACATTATTAAAACCCATCGGAGCCCTGCTGGAGAAAGTTGAGGTGCGAGTAGGTGCAGGCATAGCTCAGGGGCCACAGCGCAGCACGCTGATGTAATGATTACAGGGCTGCATGAGACCTGAAAGGTTTTAACGGTTATGGTGACTCTTACCACACCCCCACCAAATCTGTTTCTCTTCCAGTGCGAGAAGCAGATCCGCGGCGGAGACATCGCTGTGTTTGCCAGTCGGGCAGAACAGAGCAGCTGTTGGCACCCTCAGTGTTTCCAGTGTGCCACCTGCAGCGAGCTGCTGGTCGATCTGATCTACTTCTTCCAGGAGGGGCAGATCTACTGCGGCCGGCACCACGCCGAGCGGCTCAAGCCGCGCTGCCAGGCCTGTGACGAGGTGACTGTCTCATCGAGTGTCAACAAAAGAAGCATCATGAGTGCATAAGAGATTCATTCTGCCCTGTGTGGTGCCGTAATATAGCTGTGTGTGATCATTTGCCTGATCTGCGCGTAGTAGAGGGCTATTTGCAGGCTTTTCTGGTGGTCTCTGCTGGTTTTAAATGACTTCTCAATGTGATTTAAGAGATTAGTGGACATAGTCGACTAATGGATCTGCCACGACTGACCTACAAGAGTTCTTTAGACCCAGAGGATGACTAAGCCTTGAAAAGGGCACCCGCGGAATCTTTTTTTTTTCCCTTTCCCAAATCCTCAGCACTTACATCTCATTTGCTTAATTCTGCACCCATGAAACCATCGTCTCCCTCTGTTTTTTTCTGCTGTTGGGTCTCAATCCTAGATTATTCTGGCGGATGAATGTACTGAGGCCGAAGGAAGACACTGGCACATGAAGCACTTCTGCTGTTTTGAGTGCGAGGCGGCACTGGGCGGTCAGCGTTACATCATGAGAGAGAGTCGACCGTACTGCTGCTCCTGCTACGAGTCCCAGTACGCAGAGTACTGCGATACCTGCGGAGAACACATAGGTACTGAGTTACAGCCACAATAACTCCTATACTGGGGGTTTTATCCATGTTGTGCACTATTTCTTTGGTAACAGATGCCTTCATGTAGTATTTGACTACATCTGTACTCTTTTGAAGACACATTTGTTCATATACTGCTTGTACATATATCCCCTTAATTGCCCAGAAAAAGGAGATAATTGTCTCTTCAGATTATTAAAAAGAAGCTAATGAATCAAAGCTGCAGAACGTCTAGCGACTGGTGTAATCATGACACAACTTGCTCTAAGGTATTGATCAGGGCCAGATGACGTACGAGGGTCAGCACTGGCACGCCGTGGAGTCTTGTTTCTGCTGCGCCCGCTGCCACCTGCCCCTGCTGGGGCGTCCCTTCCTCCCTCGAGGGGGGCTCATCTTCTGCTCCAGGCCCTGCTCGCTGGGCGAGGACCCCAACAACTCCGACTCCTGTGACTCAGCGCTGCAGAGCAAACCGCCTCAGCACAGACGCTGTGAGTCGGCCAAGAAGCACCAGCAGCCGCAGTGTGGCTCTCCCCTGCAGCCACCAGAGGGCGCCGGCTCTCCTGTGACTCCTGCAAAAGACTGCGTTCGCGATGCAGTGGAGAACAGAGGTGACGATGATACACTGGTGTCATACTTTGATCTATTTTTATACCATGTGAGTATTTCGTAGCGACTACTCTCACACGTTGCCTTGTTCTGCTCCTCACAGGTGTCCACTGCACTGCTCCGGTTCAGAATGGACTGCCTCCGCCCAGTGGTCAGCCTCATCCGAGAGGCTCCTACTCACCTCTCCCACACATCCATCTAGGAAACGGCTTAGGTCCATCTTGGCCCAGCGACCTGCCACATTACAGTTTGCTGCCGGGGAACTCTGGCATCAAGCGTTCTGTCGGAGACCTTCAGCTGAAGGCAGAGATAAATGGAAATACCGGACTAACCGGCGTTAATTCAAGGGGAACCTCAACGAAAGACTGTAGGAACTGGGTGGAGAAGACCAATCAAGTAATGCAAGGTATCAAACATCCATCACGCTAAATACGAACCAGTAGCATTGTTCTTTAACTGTTGTTCTCACTCTGTATTAACTACATGTGCTCCCCCCGCTTGCCTTTCTCTCCACAGGGTTTCCGCCACAAGAAAACCCGCCTCCTCTCCCGCCCAACAACCCGTCTGTTCTCCCACCTCCTCTGCCGCTCAAGTCTCGCGACCCGATGCCCCCGGACTCCCCTCAGCCAGACCTCCCCCAACTAGCGGAGCGATCGCCCGCTTCTCCGCCGCCGCTGTCTCGCAGTGGCACAGCTCGGGTCAGCTTCAGAGAACCGATCAGCAGCAGCTACTCAGTCGATGAGGACGAGGAGGAAGACGGGCCGGAGCTGCCCGAGGTGGAGGAGAACCAGCTGGAGGACGATGAGCCGGAGGGAGGTTTCGGAAGCAAGTTGCATCTCCAAAAGGGCATCCCGCCGCAGATGGATCTTCTGGGTGAGAAAGGGCGTCCAAAGAGATGAATTGGAGAATCCGGGTGTCAAGTTGTTTTTGTATTTTTCTCATCATTCACATTTTCCCTTCCAGATGGATCCTCCTACCAACGGAGTCCGCGGAGAGGGTGGAGCCGTTGTCGCGTCCCCGCCGACCCTGCCCTCCACCCGGGAGCAGAGAGGCACCCCAGACGCTCGCGGTGCGACCGGCCTCGGCTGGAGACCCTCGACCGGAGAGGCGAGAGAGAGAGGGAGCCGCGGGGCGGCGCCGCCGTGGGCTCCTTGCTGACCCTGCAGCCGGGCCAGTGCAGACATGAAGACTCTTGCTCCACTTGCTCTTCATCCTCAGACTCAGAGGAAGAGGGTTTCTTCCTGGGACAGCCCATACCTCTGCCCCCACAGCTACGAAAGCAGCAGCCCGAGGAGGGCAAAGACGGAGGGGGAGACGAGGAGAGGGAGGGGCAGAGAGACTGGGGACTGAGAGGCAGCATAAGGCGGAGAAGAGCGCACAGCCTCGGTGCAAAGGACAAAGACAAAAACTGTGCTATCTCCTAAGCCCCAACGTCAAATAACAGCATTGTTACTTTCTAAATGATGGTGCACGAGAAGAACTAATGGCCCTTCATTACTCAGACGTACTACTTAGCAACAGAAAGTGCAACAAGCCTCAAAAAGGTCACTGACTTTAACGTAACTGTATTTACGGTTGTTTGTTTGCCTTTTTGAGATGCTCCGTTGTAGAGAATGAATCCTGTGAGAAGTGATGAACGTGTGTTGATAATTGTTTGGGTTGTATTGTTACGTCCAAATAAAGGACTCGGCGTTGCTTTGCAGTTTCTTTGAACACAAACTGCCGCAACGCTGAAGGGAAATGTTACTTCCCATCATTTACATATGTAAATGTACAGTAGAACACGTGGCCGCTAACCGCTGGCTCATTCCTCCATCGCGGTTTGCTAAATAAAATAAAAAATACATCTTATTTTTTTAACACTACTGTAACCATTCTATGTGCACTTTTTATATAGCTGTAATATATTACAGGCATGAATACTTAATGGCCCGACCACGTGGGTGTAAGACAAACAGTGGTGGTTACATTTATTATGTGGGTCCAAAATAAATGCTGCAAAGTTTATATACATTCGTGTCTTTAATCAAAAAAACTGTAAAATCATTTATTTTTATATATCTGGTGTAGGTCGCTGTTCTTTCTAGTTGTATCTGGGGTAAAGGGAAGAGATCATAACTTCTTAGATTTATTTCAGACAATTTTCTGTTGATAATAAATTTGTCTAAAGTACTCGTCTTGCTGTGCACTTTAATCCACTCTTCACGCACGCCGAAACATTCCACGCAGACCTTTGGACGGCTTGTCAGCATATGCAAATGAGCTACGACTCCTTATCACCTCGCTAGCAGCAAAAAGCAACAAAGGGCAGCGTCACGTGACCAGAAAGAGGCCAGATTGTTTCCTTGTAAGAGAGCCACCGGACCAATCGGCGAGAGGGGGCGGGCTCAGGAGGCGCACACGTGGGTTGTCAAACAGGTTTGTCTTGAGCTGCTTACTGCTCATTTCAAACACTTCCACACCCTTTGTCCTCAGGAGGAACAGCTCAGTGGGCTCGCCGGGCTAACAGGAAGCTGGAGACGGCCTCAGCACATCCACGAGGACTGTCAAGGTGAGTTTTCTGTCCAAATGCCAAATGTCAGTTTGGAGTTGTACAAGTACAACTCCAAACTGTCTCTACAGCTGACCCACACCTCCACAGGAGCAGGGGTTGAGCTTGTCCGGACGAGACCACCGGGGGCCTTTAGCGCATGTGGGTTTATCTGGCCTACCTTTTGGTTTTGGTTTCGCGCCGCGTTTGTCATTTTCTCGGAAGGGCAGAACATGTTGGAACTTGACTCAGAAACATTCAATTTAGTGGCTCTATTTTTGTGGGTCTGACTCACCTCTAGACATTCTTTGCTTTGTAACACACCGGCCCATTACCTCTTTAATTATATATATCAAGGTGCTGTTGAGCTTTACTTCCACGCTTCTTTGTTTTTGGAGGTTTGGAAAAAGGTTCCCAGCTCTGTCAGCGGGAGTTCGGCCTGGCTCAGACCGGAATGGCAAATATGTAGAGAATGTTACAGTCTGGCTTTTGCAGACTAATTTAAACGCACATGGTATCTCAAGTATGTACAGAATATCAATCTGGGGGGCTCACCAAGTTCACTGTTGTGACCTTCACCAGAGTTTGAGGTTTATCACCAAACACCTGGAGGGATGCTAAGTGCAACCCTGTTTTTACAACTTTACTTAACCTACGGATGCTTGTAGTTCAGGAAGAAGCCAGCACCGAACCACGGCAACTGGCTGCTTTATTTAAAGATGGGGAGCCCTTGTTCCTATAGCAGCTGTTGGTGTATGTGTGTGTGTGTGTGTGTGTGTGTGTGTGTGTGTGTGTGTGTGTGTGTGTGTGTGTGTGTGTGTGTGTGTGTTCTGCTCTGTATTGCCTCCAGACAATAGCTTGTTGACAGCTGTCCTCATGCCCCTCCCCGTCACACACACACACTTCTGCTCTTTTCAGGGACCTTCTACTTACTGAAAATGAAGTGTCAGTTTTATTGTGTGTCTGTCTACCGAGAGATGGATGACTGAGGCGGATTGTTGGGATCCGTCTGTGCCGGCAGCCAATGAACTCGCGAGCACGGCGCCGGCTTCCAGCGGGGGATTGGTTGCGCTCTTTATGGAAGGGGAGGGGTTTATCAGTGGTGTTGGTGGCTGTAAATGTTAAATGTCGTGCCTGTGTCCTGACTGCTGTGTCTCTTTTCCGCACAGGAAGTCCGAATGCCCGGGAAGTAAACCTCACCCGAGATGCTGATCTCGATTTCTGCAGAACCCCAGAGATTTATTTCAGGGTGGCCAAAGAAAAAGCTGTGAACAGAGAGTGCACAAGGACAGGTACGACCACTGGCTTTACAAAATGCCTTTGGAGACTCTCCAACAACCACTCAGACAACCGGCATCAAACGGCGGAGCCGCCGTGCCGCCGCGCTTGCGGCCCAAGGGGCCGGTGGGGCCCGACTTCTACCGGCAATTTAAAGCGGCAGCGAGCAGACCGAAGCAGAGTGCCGTGGAGAGGTTGGAAGCGGACAAGGCTAAATATGTCAAGAGTCAGGTGGCTCTCTCCAAACTGCAGCCGGTGGTCCGGCCTCCGGAGGCACGTTCGCCTCCGCTGAACCCCGGCACCGCTATGCGGCCCACCAGGAAGACCCCCAACCAGACGAAAACCAGGCCGGAAGAAGTTCAGCTCAACTTGGAGCATCTGAGTAACCTGATCAATGGCGCCGGCATCTCGGAGGACGTCAAAGCTGTGGATGCCGCAGTCGCCACGGCACGCGGCTCCCCTTGCCTCACACCTGCAGGGGCCCCACAGAAAAAGGAAAGGCCGCGTCCGGCCCCTCGTCCGGACTGGTTCAGTCCAGCGACGGTGAGATTAAAAGCCGCCGGACCCGCCAGGGCGGAGAGCCCTCTCGCTTCTGGGCTTCCGGCCGCAAGGATGGTACGAAGAGTGGACGTCATGCCTCAGGCGAGCCCCGCGCGGACGCCCTGCCGCCCCCCTCAGTACATCCGGCAGCCCCTCCAGCCCATACCTTTGCACTCACAGTTTCCACTGCGCCCGACCTCCTCGGACCTGCGTCCCTTCCACACCCGGACCACGTCGCGCCCCTCCCCCGCTCTGAAACCCGTGGTCGCTCCGTCCAAGCCGGACGATTCTCCCACCTCGCTGGCTGAAACGCCCGCCCTTGCTCCATCTCCCCCGAGCTTCCCTTCATTCCCTCCTTCCTCCCCGGCGATAACCCGACTGTCCTCGTCCAGCTCCAGGAAACGGCCGTCTCTGACCCGGTCCAAATCGGACCTGAGCGACCGGTGCTCGCGGGCCGGCACGGATTTGGAGCGCTTCTTCAACCTGTGCGGTCTGGACCCGGCGGAGCTCCAGTTGACCGGATCCAATTCTGACATCGTGTCCATGGCCCGTTTCCGCAGCGTGAGCGCTCCAGGGTCAGAATGTGCGGGGACCGGGGAAGAGGACGGCGAGGAAGAGGAGGATGCTTCCAACGCCGCAGAGCGGGTTCCTTATGGCGTTTCCGTCATTGAGAGGAATGCAAGAGTAATCAAATGGCTGTACGGACTCCGTCAGGCCAAAGACAATGCCAGTAAGGGCACCGATTTGTGAGATGGTGGTAAATCATTTGCAGGAAGGAAAGAAAGTGTCACATGGTTAAACTTATGAGTGCTAACTTACTTTCCCTTTCTGTTCAGAATGTTTTGACATGCTGGTGGTTATTCTTTTTCTTTTTTTTTTCTTTTTCATTTTCTTTCTTTTCTTTTTTTTCTTTTTTTACTTCTTCCTTTGTGAACCTCAAAGTGTAATCTCGGGTCATGTGAATGAAAAGCATTAAAGACTGAATGATGAAAGCATCTTCTTTGAAACTCAGTGATGAAAACTCAGTTTAGACCCAAAAATGATACATTTCCCCTGAGACTGATCAGAGAGCCATTTCTGCTTCAACTCCATAAAAACTTATGGAGTTCTATGTCCCTATTATGAGTCCTTGTAAGCGTTTGTGATGCGTTATGGTTCTCGTTGGCTGATCGTGAGTTCGTCAGGGAAACGAGAACCGGATCAACAGGCCTCATTTGATGGAGAGTTTTATTTCCACAAGAGGTCCGAACAGCCCATACTGAGAACAAGTCCAGTTAAAAACTCATTCGTTCAACCTCATAGGACGTACGACGCACAACATTTAAAACCTTTGCTGCCATTAAAACTTCCTTTTATATTATGACCGTTATTCCACAGTGGAAAGTCCTGTTTTTCCATGGAACAGATTCATAATGGTTTCTATTGTTGTAGTTCCAGTTGAGTCGTTCTTTTTGTAGGACCGAAGCAGGCGGGTTGGATGACAGCGGCACACTTTCAAAGACAAGGAGTTGTTCAACCGGATTTCAGCGTCTAACAAGTGAGAGTTGCATACAGATTATTCTCATTTACTTAAAAGGATGAGCCTGCTTGAAACCCGAGCAGCGACGGTCAGCTGAGGGTGCGTTTTCTTTAAATATCTCACTGATAATCCTCTTGTTTTTAATATAATAATAATTTTTAATATAATATAGGCAAATGTTTTTTTTTTCCAAATTTTGTAGGCACCTTTTATACCTCAACTGACATGTCAAGTATTATATACATATCGTTTGTGACTTACTTTATACCCAGTTTGAGATTAAACGAAGCTAAACGCAACGTGAAAAACAAAAGGCTCCAGGAGGATTTGTCCTCTCAAAACTGTCGATACTTTTCAAAGTCAAAAAGAAAAATATGTAGAGAATGTTTGTCTGGCTTTTGCAGACTAATTTAAACGCACATGGTATCTCAAGTATGTAACAATTTCTCTTCAGTGGTAAAAAGAGTGAGACCGTATTGTGAGCAGAAGAAATCTCTTGAGATCAGAATTTCAAATGTTGTGGTACTGACTTCTGCTGTGACCGCTCTGTAAAAACGGTGTAGACAAAAGACTGTATCCACAAAACAGATAAACGTCTGAAGTCATTTTTTGTTTCAATAGACAAGCGAAACATTTCCCTCCACCTTCCTGTTTTGTTCTTCATGGGGGTCGGGGGGATTCCTCTGGGTTGGAAGGTGTACTACTTTAAATGCTCTGTGTGCCTTACAATATATGGGCTGATGGTCATTTCAAAATAAAGTAACTTTCACAGATGGAGGCCTCTTGCGTCTCCCTCCGGTCCAGTTGGATGTCTGGTGATGGCCGTGGTCGTCTGGGAGGATCTGCTTGTTTGATACACTTCATATTGAATTAGGCTGCAATTCATCCACCGGCGCTTCGATCCCACGGGCTCTACTCCGTTTGGCGGCATGTTTCTGCTGCTGTGGTTTGTGCCACAAGGTTTCAGGGTCTCAGTGTCTCCGTGTGCTGCCTGTTTGAGACCCTCATGAGTCAGCGTGCGCTTCACTTGAACATACTGTATGTCCATTTTATTCTATAAGTGTTTCTTCTGCACTAAATCTGACTCATACATTAAAGAAGACATGTAATGACCTTATTTTACAATGTTGTACTGTTTTCACAACTACACATCTCTTAATTATCTTGTGCTTCAGCGAGCTGCTTCCCTCTTCGTCATCTTCCTCATGTCACCATGGTGACAGAATTCCCCACTAGTCTCATGACACTGTTGCTGCTGCAGTTTGCCTCCGGGCTGCGTCGCCCCGGCTGCTGCGTTTCACACTGCCCCCGTGCTGTCATTTGGTATCAGGTTTTCTTCTAATGTCCATTAACAGTGCTACAAGTTCCTGAGGGGAGGGGGGGATCACAGAGACTCTGCCACCGCCTACAGTAGAGTACCAGAACTCTCAATCCTCCTCCCAGGTCCTTGTCTCCAAGGGGAGAATGAGCAGTACCCCCCCCCCCCCCCCCCTTTGAAAGCCATGCATGTAGTTATTGGTTAGAAGCAGAGCAAAAGGTTAAATCATAAATATTGGTTTCATTTAACGCATCTCTTTTATTCCAGATGTCCTTCTGCGGTAATTTTGCACTATTTTGCAGCTGGCTGCAGCTCCTCTTGTTGGTTATGCTGGTAAAAAGGGAATCACACTTGTATCACACACGCTGAAGATGTCGTTATATGCAAACTATTTCAAATTTCAAAGGATATATTCTTGCAGGCTTCTGCCTCAGTAGCAGTTCTTCTGTGGCAAACAGTCCTTCTGAGAATAGGTAGAAAAGGCCACTATTTACATCACACAAATCCCTGTATAATAATCTGTAATGCAACTAATTCCCCCCTCATTTTTCTTCTACTCGCTAAGGCCTGTTTATGTCTCTCTCAGCTCTTCCTCCGAGCAGTTAGTCGCCTGTGTTCCCAGTAGCGTGCCATTCTTCGTGATTATGTGCGTTCTGATGGGATTCAGCGTTGCCGCCGTGTTCTCGCCCCCCTGGTGAGTCAGCTCCCAGCGAGGACTCACAGTTGCAAAACCTCTCCAAGACCGCCTGTCAGATGCAATCAGTATCTAAACTGGATGCTGTGCGCATGAATCATTCAACATCGCCTCCACCTGAGCCCTCGCTGGTCATGAATGTTCCAGCAAAGATCTGTTTTGATGACCGGTCAGTTCCCCTCGTGTACATTGACATGTGGGTTGCCTCAGGTCAATGCTCCCCAGATGTGGTGGATGACTTTACTGCGAGACCCCCTCACTCTGCAAAGACCTGGAGCACATGTTTATCTCTTGTTATGCCCTCTGCAGTATGCAAAAAAAAAATGAATGTAAGAAAACAATCACACGTTGGTGTAAAGATCTGTCTTCAATTAACCGGATTTTCTACATTGTTGCCATTGTTAAATGTGTGGCTGTGGGTTTAGTTAGTTGTCAATTAAAACAAAGAAAAAGGAAGGTGATCAGGTGGTTTCCATCAAGAGGACTCCCCCCCCCTTCACCCTCCCATCGCCCTCCCCCCGCATCCCGCTTCCGCTCGTGCTGTCGGGTGGTCAAGAGGAAGGATACCCGAGGAGCCAAGATGGGAGTAGACATCGAGACCATAACTCCGGGCGATGGTGGGAATTTACTGCTTTGTTACAACCGTTTAAATACTGACGAATTTACGGCGCGCGCGGTTCGTTTTTAAACCACTTCTGTCTCTATTTCAGGACGGACATTCCCGAAGAAAGGGCAGCGCGTCGTGGTGCACTACGTCGGTGAGTGTGGACGACTAATACTGCCGTGTTTTGCCTTAAAAAAAAAAACACTCGCCGGCTAACAGGATGTTTCGGGGTTGTTGTTTGTTTTTTCGAAGCTACACGCAGCCCGGTAACGTGAGCCGTTATCGGTGTGAATGGCTGCTGTTCGCGTAATGTGTGTCTGTAAGTACAAGTTAAGCTAACCGGTTGCGTCCGGCTGCTAACGCTGACTAGCGCTGAAGCTAACAGTCTGGCGTTAGCGTAACTAATTGTTTGTTGTGTCTGTTAGCGTACCGCTAGCTCGTGTGTTGCTACAGCCAGACGCCCGCTGACGTGTATCACTTATTGGATAATTCAAAAGGTTCGCACTGTTGTTATCCGCTGAGTAGGAACGGGCTCTGGTCGAGCTAACGGCACCGTAGCTGCTGTCAGGCTCCCTAACGTTAGCCGACCGGCCCCGGGGATGCTAGTCGGCTAGCGGTAGCTCATAGCTCTGGAACCGCTAGGAGGCTAAACAACCCGCAGCTGGTTGTCGTTTGCTAAATCAGCTTATTCAAGAATATGTGTTTTCTCGTCAGGCACACTGGCAGACGGGAAGGTGTTTGACTCTTCGAGGTCCCGGGGGAAGCCTTTCAAATTCAAGATCGGACACCAGGAGGTTATTCGTGGTTGGGAAGAAGGAGTGGCGCAGGTGAGGAGTGTTAGTGGTTCACATTAAAGTTGTTCTAACATTATAGTGGACATTAAGCGTCATACACTCGGTGCTACTTAGGTTAATGGGAGCATTGGTCCATCTGCACAGAGTCTGATAGAATATGCAATTCATTTATGCACATTCCTTTGACAATGTTTGTCTACAAAGCTGACGAGCTCTTACTTGTATTCCATCTATTCTTCATAATTTTAGCATTCTTTAGACTGTATTTATGCTTCTTGACTGCTCGCTATTGTAATCGTTTTTGAAAAAATGAACACAAAAAATCAAATAACTTTCAGTCAAACAAATGTCTTCGTGTTTTTTATTTCCTAATCCATAGAATATCCATTTAAAGAATAGATTATTTGATTTTTAACGGTAAGAAAATAAAAAATAAGTAAATACTCTCTCTCCACAGATGAGTGTAGGTCAGCGTGCAAAGCTGATTTGCTCAGCAGACTTTGCCTACGGCAGCAAAGGGCACCCAGGGATCATCCCACCCAACGCCACACTCACCTTCGACGTGGAGCTCCTCAGCCTGGAAGCCTGAATCTTGTGCACTCACTTTGTTAAATTCCACTCAAACGTTCAGGGTAGGAAACATTTTTCAATTGCTTGAATAATCCCTGTGATTAGTATATCATATCCTGGGTGGATAATTCATCAAGTTGATAATATGTGCCTTTTGTCTTACATTTATCGTATCACATGTACACTTTGACATGTCATAGATTTAATAGTATGTTATTCCCTCTCGCCGGTCCTCCCTAACGATTGCACTAACCCCTTTTTGCTTCACCTCAGGTCGACTCCTATCACAGGAACATGGAGGACACATGATTCCTGCTCTTGAACCCTGCATAGGACCTATCTCTATATCTTCACTAGTTCACTCTCCTTTACATTTAGATACAAATTGTGTTTGTCACTTGCTTTAAAACGTTATCCTCTATGCTATTCTTTAGGTTCCATACTGTAATAAGTCATAGGTCATCCCATGTTTTTTGTCATATTCTGCTATGTATTTTTTGGGTGGTGTTTTTTTTATCTCATCAATTTACAAATTGTATCTGCCACTCGGACCAGGTTTTAGATAAAGGTCATAAGTATTAAATCAATATCATTACTGTGGCTCTGTGGCCTTTACACTAAAATTCTATTGATTGTGGCTAATTGTCTTGGATAAAAATAAGAATAAATTGTTTGACACTTTCTATGAATTACCTTTGTGATACTTGGTTATATTGAAAGTATGAGATACACTTAAACCAGGGATTCATGAATCAAGCACAGTCCAGCCATGAACAGCCTACAGGTCTCTGCAGAGGGGAGACTTTCTTATTCTACCGTGCAGCATCCATTCTCAATTTAAGAAAGTTACCATTGCAGAAACACTCACAACTGGACATAATAACTGCAGAAATATTGTTTTTTCCACGACGACAATATTTGGTTTCTGGTAAAAAGTTTGCTAAACAATCCACCTTTGTGCCTACAAAGTATTAATTATAATTGTAGGCACAGCTTGTGGTTTGTGATTCTTTGTTTGAAGGAGTTGTTTGTACCAAGTTGTGGATGTGTAAAAGGTCTGTTCCTTACTCTAAAATCATTAAAGGAGTAATTTTAACACAAGTTTCTATTTTTCTTCTCTTTCAGATGTTTGTCACTGTTAGAATACAAAATACTATGATTAGTTCATTTTATCTTCATTTATTAATTCATAATTAACACTATTCCAAAACACTACACGCTATAAGAAAAGAAAACCAATAGGCATATTTTATTTTACTACAGGTGATCAGTACAAGCTGACGGAGGGAGTCGTTCTACATGGAGAAGGATACGTTATAGATCAAGCATTTTCTAACATGGAGGAAAAAAGTCCCAAAAAATTCAAAATGAGTTAAAAGTTCCAACATTACAATGTGCATCGCCCCAAATATAGATATTACAATTTATCTTCCATTGAACTTCTCAATGGACCATTCCTCTGTCTTCTGCTGAATCATTGATTGAACAACAAGATCCCTGAAAGCTAAAACATTGCTCTTTTTGCAGAATAAGGCTGAACTCGGTTACACCATAGTCCATAGTTACAATGGAGCCATTTTAGTCGACCCACAGAAGGGCCGCTTGTAAGATGAGTACGCAACTGTGATACACACAGTACATCAGTATAAACTGTTGAACAGTTCTGTGGGAGCAACCGACACTGATGCAAAGTGTTAATCTTTGCTTGCAGCTGTGCAAAGTTCATGTACAATTAGAAAATATACCATTGTATCAAAAACAGTTGGCTCTTAAAAGTTGGTAAACAAAACGGCTCATCCAAGTTCTTTCCAGCTGTGTGGATAACAAACTAAATGTTCTGTCTGGTTCTAGTAGGTTTTATAGAAATATGTGGCTTAGAACCCAGTGCTTTGTTTTGGTATATTTTGTTTTTAAACGGCAAACTAATATTTTTAATTTCAGGTTATTTTAAGCAAAAAATATATAAATTAATTATTGTTCATGATGAATTTTTCAGTTCAATTTATTTAATTCAATCAGTATTAAATAAATAGTGTATAGTTGATGATGAAAATGGAGGAGCGCAGACCTTTTTTTTTTTTTTCTTCATAAAATAAAGTGCATATCTTTGCCCAGAGGATATCATCTAAATCCACATTTAGGCTTAATTCAAGCAAGGGAACCCAACCAAACTGGGCTACATGCAGCTAAACCTCAGTAGTATATTTCAGTAATGAAAGATTGGACAACTAATCATTTCTTCTCTGAGGCATTACTATGACATCACAAGGACAGCATGTAAAATCTAGAAATCCTACAAGAGGACATATCGACAAGCGGTAATGAGCTAATCCCAAAGAAAGTCGTCTTTGCTGTGGCCGTTGCCGCAGAGGTTGGGAGTTGTCTTCTTCACGTCTCAGATCGGCGTTGAGCCGCTTACGCTGGCAGGACCGCGTCCCCTGCTCGCCCCCCTGCGGCGAAGCGAGTGGAGGGCCACGGCACAGCAACCCCTCAGCAGGGAGCCGAATTGATACACCGGCATGACTTCCCGCGTCGCCCCCCGACACAGCCACGCCATGGTCGGGACCACCGGCACCGCCAGAGCCAACAGATCCACGAGGAAGTAGCGGCTCCAGTGGCAGAGCTGGGGTGGAAACCCGTCTTCAGTTCCGTCCCCGTCGTCCTCGTCTATCTCCACCACAACGGCGTCCCGCCTCTCCGGGAGCGGAGCTGCAGAGGGGGGCTGGCAGGTACGGGGCTCCATCGGCGTCCTCGTTGCCCCCTGTGGTTCAACGGGCGGCAGCGGTGCCACTCTGCACGAATGCTCGGCAGGGGAGGCGCCAGGTAAGGACGATGGGAACGGGTGTGGTTCTGAGGGCGTGGAGTCTGCTGTGGCTGAAGAAATGATGCTCAGCACTTCGGCGCCACTTTCCTCACACAGCCAGGTCATGGTTGGGCTGCAGGCCCGGGAGTGCACCTCTGGTTTCTTCTCTGTTGCGGGAGTAGGCGTCGGGACGGTATCAGGGGCCGGGGAGGCGGCAGCTGCCGCTGCAGCCGGGGCCTCCTGAGGTAAATGCAGGAACAGGTGGTGATGAGGGAGGCAGCTGTGGCCGCTGCACTTGCAGCTGCTGCCGCTGCCGAGAGTGTGGCAGGAGTGCGAGATGGGCAACACCGCCCCACCGCTGCACATCCTTTCGTATGTGGAGGAGCGTGGCAGGGTCGGGGGGCCTCGCATGTGGCCCTGCGGAGGCAGCTGCTCAGACAGGAGGGTGGCGTCCAGGAGCAGGTGGGTTTGTCCCGCCGGGCGGGGCGCTCTGCTCGCCTCGGGGGCATTCGGGCCGTGCTCCAGATGCAGGGCCTCGCTGCTCAGTCGGGTGCGGGTGGTGCCGCGGCTCAAAGTGCCGGCCGGGGAACAGCCGCAGGAGCGGGACCGGCCCCCATGCCGAGCCTCCTGCAGCCCCGGGTGTGGCTTGTGGTCGTGGGGGTTTTGTTCGCGGACGCTCAGGTTGGACTTCACGGTATCGACCACCTCCTGGAGGTGCTGGATCTCCTTCCGGGCCTCTTTCAGTGCCATCTGGGCCTCCACGCGGTGACATTCCTCTTCTACCCAGTCCTCCTGCATCCTGTACAGTTGGGTCCTCAACCCGTCGATTTCACAGTCTCTGATAAGGTGTGAGGGACAAGTGAATAGCAAGAGTCATGTCTTTTTCACTGAAATAAACCATGGGGATTAGCGAAAAGGACCCCTTAATGGGAGGTTGAAGGAGAAAAAGCCTCACCTGTGTTGAAGTCTTTCCACATTGTCCCTCAGCCGGGCTCGCAGGTGTCGTATACACACCTCCTTCTGCTGCAGAGGGGTGAGGTACTGCTCCGGGGTTGGCGTCCTAATCCCATGGTTGTCACTGCAGCCCGCGTGCTTTGCTTGTCGCCTTAAAAAATAAGGGTTGAGGTCAGTAAATGTCATGGTATAGCAGAAAGAGAGTTGTAACCTACCTGGGTGTGACCGGGTACGTCCGAGCTGTGGGGCTGCCCTCCGCCGCCTTAACCCGACCGGGACAGGTGTGAGTACTGGATGTATCACTATGGATACATCGCCCGCTGCTTCCACCAGTGCCAACCGAGCGCCTGGAAGGGAGAGATCAGCATTACGTTCTTTCCCAAGAACGTGAGAACATAAAATACGTCTTCCATCCACCTCCAAACACTGTGAGCGCGCAAAAGGAGGCAAACAGTACCTGCGCTGCTCCGATGAAGGCTTCCGACTCGGCGTGAGCGACATTGATGTGCGAGGGACGTCCGACCTCTCCAGGGTAGTCTCTAGAGAGGGAGGCGAGGAGCCCTCACAGCTGGGCCGCCGGGACACACAACAGCAAATCAGATCAAAATACTCCTGTATGCACATCACAGCCCTCCCTCGCGGCCGTTATGGGCTTCTTTGATGGAAGTCATTGACAATAATGTAACCCTGACCCTAATTAAAATAGTCCACGCCAGCAGCAAATAAAGCCTCCTTTCTGTGCTGACACAAAGGGGAACAGTGAGTTCAGTGTCAGCTGCTTCTCTCTGTGTCCTGCAGAGCTGCACATTAAACATGATGAACCTCCACATGGACGGATGTCAAAGGGCAACCAAGTAAACCCGACGTTTGGGGACAAAGCTATGGGTTTATAGGGTCCCTGCCTTGAAAAAAAATGTAAACAATTCGCCCGCCTGTCACTTAAAAGCAGTGTAGCAAAGATGAAAGAAAATCAGACTGGTTCCGATCTACTTACTTTGCTCTTTCAAGTTTAGTTTATTCTTTAAACTGTTATCTGTAATTTATTCCTCTGTAATCTCCGCCTTGTACGGATGGATCAAAACTATATTGCAGACTGAAGGGATTTAAGTATTGAATGTGCTTGTTAGAGATTAGGTCTTGCATATTATTTGATATTTCCCATTCAAATTTGTGTTTGTTTTCTTCGTGAAATGCTTGTTATCTTTCAATTCTGTTGAACTCTGCTGCAATGAGCAGTTGGATATTTATTGTTAAATGAATATAAGAGTCAAAACTGTTTTATACTTGCTATCCTACTGAAATATGTATGTATGAACTTGCTGTTTGAACCAGCCAGATTGTTGAAACCCTCCAAAAACAGGTGTGGCCTCGTCGCCTCTTCGTGAATAAAAGTGCCCCCCCACCCCCCTCCAACACATCAAGGAGAAGCGTATTTCGATCTAAGCAACAATGAAGGATGAGTACTAAATGTTCTCATCCTCGTTTAAAAGTATCTTCAACCTGCCAATTGACATTCCGGCCGATGGATCCGTTTTTGTAGCCGCACACACACACACAACAGATGTGTAATCTACACGACAACACACGCACATTATTTAATTCGTGTCCTACATTTAAATTGCCGGACGACGTGACGTGACATCTCACCTCCCTCTCCTCTGCCTGCGCAACAAGTGGCGAGCTGAGAAATACGCAATCGTCTTACGTAAGTGTGCGTATCGGTGTCATGTGGGGGCGAGCAGCGCGCACACACACACACACACATACACACACACACACACACACACACACACGGATGAAAACTACTTTTCTGCTGCTGCTGATGATGATGATGCCACAATGCTTCGGGATAAAAAAAATAAAGGACGTGTCCTTGAATAATGATGATGGCATTAAATCGCAGGATTTATTTCCCCACCACATCTGGCGCCCCCCCCGCGGTACAGCAGTCAGATCTGATGTAATTACTTTTTTTCTTTTCTTCAAAAAGTGTCCTCATTGCTTTGCAGCTGATTTCAAAGGTGTCCCTAAACAGGACACCCAACAACCCGGCGGTACTTTCCATCAGAGAAAACGCAGCTTGAGTGACACATGAAGCCGCATTTAGGACACCGGCTGTCCGTGTTATAAACACGCTCTGAACCCTAAAGCACACGTTTCTAGTGGCTGTGAACGCGCACAAAACACCGACACAGCGTTATTCTTGTGTATTTTTTTTAGGAGGGGGGGGGGCAGAGAAACAGACCTCCATCAAACAGCAGCACGTCGGCGGGTGGAAGCTGCGCGTCGCGGAGGAGCCTCGGGTCCCGCCGGGCCTGACGGTCGATGGATGAAGAGTCCCCGGAGGAAGCAGGCAGGAGAGACGCTGCTGGTGCCGGCGCGAGTCCATCCTGCAGCCGTGGAGCGCGGAGACGGAATGAGGCGAACTGCGGATCCGCTTCTTAAAGCGACAGAGCGCCGAGCGGCAGGAGAAGCGCTCCACGCGACAGGACGTTTACAAGGCCAATACAGAGCAAACGAACATTTAGAAAAGACTTGAATATTTAAATTCAGAACTTTTTATATAACAAACCTCAAGAAGGACAGCCGTGTGAATTCCAATTCAATCGTAATGCCTTCAAAGCACAAGGCCTGTGTAGTGTTCTTATCACGTGATAACTAACAAAACGTGTGTCACTGGAAGGGTTACAATGAGCACGGACTAAAGAGAAGGACATTCAAATATGGACAAGTTGATGGCTGATAAGATTGAGTCTAATATGTTAAGACTACAGTCTTCTGGATTTTGGCCACAGGAAAACTAATACAGAGAACAATTAATATAATATAACCTCAGTTATGATGCACAATTGTGAATTTGCTCTTATATCCCAAACTTCAATAACATCAGATGTGTTGGACAAAAGCTATAAGAACGAGTCAAGTGGACTTTCAGTCTTGTGTTGCGTCTAAAATAGGTGCAAATTCAACCTAATAATTTTGCAACATTCCTTTTTACATTTACTAATGTAATGTCCATTTAACTCTCCTATCTCAGGTAAGACACAACAGGCAGGGCTACAGAGTCCCGTGTTTAGAATAAATAGAAGAGGAACTGGTGTAAAACACAAACTGAACACGCACAACATTTCAGTTCAAAAGGATCACAAGAATAACTGTGTTGCCAAGCAATAAATAAGTACATACTAGGACCTTGTAGATTAGGTAAAATGTCCTTCATTGATACTTTCCCAATTTGTCTTGAGAAATGCCACGTACAATGAAATAGTTCTTTTCAAGCGGTTTTCCACCATTTAACCGATTAATCCATTGGAGTAAATTTGAGTTTTCCCCTGCGGAGCTGACAGAGTAACACAAAGTTGTGCTGCATCTGCAACAGATCGATCGCACAGAACGCAGACTGTGACTTCATCTAATTGTACAAATTGGGTCCAGGCGTGGCCACGATGTCCTCGTAGGGTGAACTCTGGTGCAGGTGGATTGCTTCTTGTTTCTTCAGGAGCAGGAGACAGAAGAGAGTGGTCGCGGCATGCGAGCGAACTTCCCCCTTGCAGTGGGCCTCCAGGCTGAACGTGGTGTCCCTGCTGCTCTGGCTCTGCCCAAACACCGGAGAGACAATTTCATTTCCTGTAATCCTGCCCCGCACTGCTTGCATTTAAATTAAAAGCTTAAAAAATATATACAATGTGAGATTCTAAAAGTATAACTCCCCCTCCCCGCCGCCCCCATGGCTTACTTTTATAATGTCCAGAAGCTTCTGTGTGCGTGTGGTTATCCTCCTCTCCTCAAAGTCCTGGCTGTCCAGCATAGACTGCCGGTTGGAGAAAGACCATATTTCAGTCAGTGAAACCGGGAGCATCTCCAAGGCAGCATGGCGAGTAACATATTATCACCTGCCATCTGGCGAACACGGTTACATTTGTAGTTTGTTTACTGTGCCAGACATTTTTTGTTTTATCTTCATTCCAAAGACAAGGCCAGTGGAGTTGGAGTCTAACTTCCTTTCCCTGTTTCTATCTGTGTTCACAGGCACCTGAGTGTGGAGGGGAGTCGACTGAGTCTCCTGCTGCACGCAGGACGGATGGACGAACATGGAGTCGCCCGACGGAAGCTCCGGATGCGTCAACTCCGAACTGTTTTTATGCTGTAAAGCACAGAAGAAAGATGAGAGGACATAAGTAACGGTAGATGAACGGCGTCCCTTCGTCCGAACGCGCTTGTGCTTACGTGCGCGCGCTCCGAGTAATCCTCCATGTGATCCTCATCCGTGTGTCCAAGGTCGGCCATCACAGTGTTGCGTGTTCTGTCGGGATCCATCGATGAATCCAGGACACTCACGCTGTCTGCAGTCAGCGTGCTTAGGCCCGTCTCAACTAAACAGGATGTAATTGTGCAGAATGCACGTCATAAAAAGGCCGAGCAGAGGACAACGCCAGTGATGCATTCAAACGCAGAGACTTTGGTTCATAGTAAACTTACAACCTCGTCCGTCCCGACGCATCACTTCAGCCTCCTCGCGCGCTGCATGAGGTTTCACCTGGAAAACACTCCTGGCAAAGAGCTGCAAAGGCCGAATGACATCCAACGATAACAGCAGTAACTTCAGCAGGATGTTCATTATGGATCATTTAATTGGTTTTAAAAACCAACATTGCAGGGATTTGTTTAATGTTTCCACCTTCTTTATCGGTGGAGCGGCCACGTTTGAACACGGCTGTGGCGCAGCCAAGAGATTGGAGGCGCCGCTGTTCTCCTTCCACTGCATCAGCTGCACAGTCGGAGGGGCCATGTCCAACGGGGCCAGCAGGTCGGAATCGTCCAGGAGCTGCCTTCTGATGCACTCGTTGGTCAGCTCTTTGGCCTGATCCACCACCAACTTGCGTCTCCTCTTCCCCCTTTTCTTCTCGGAGTTGGCTGAAAAGAAACAGCAGATTTTTTTGTGTTGTTGCCTTATCGAGTATGAGGAGGCCTCTCTGCGCGAGTCGAAGGGACAGTTTGGGGGGTTGCTTAGCCGCACTTACGAGTGACGGTCACGGGTTCCAGCGCGAAGGCCTCCTCGTCGTTGGCGAGCAGGGTGGTCTGATTCGCTGGTGGGGTCGCCACCTCCGGTGTGACGCCATCTGGAAAACGGAACCCGTTTAAAGGCCAGACTGAATGAAAGTGTAACCTGGTGCGATGAAGGGTTGAAATACCTCCTGAGGAAACAGCATCACCGTGGTGATGATTGAGCGTGGAGGCCTCTGAAACTTTGTTGTCCAGCTCCTCTAGGACGAAGTCAGCAGACTCGGCGGGATCATTGGAGATTGTCAGAAAGTCTACAAGGTCGTTGAAAATGAAGAGAATGGATCACTCTACGTTTTGATTAAAAAAGGAATCATCAGTCATTTAAGCACACGCATAAAACGGCAGATTAAAGACTTTTCTAATGCCACTCTGAATGGGACATGGGACAAAGCAATCTGCTGCAATGGCTTTGCTCAAATAAAATATGGCCAAAAATGATTGATGCGTTAAAAATCCCTACCGAGTAGGTCGAGTCCTCTGTGCTCATCTCCAAAATCGTCTCCGTGTTGAGCGAAGAGCTGGAAGCTCATATCCAGCAGCCCAACCTGGTGGCTCTGGCACTTGTCTCCTACCCGTCAGACCACACACACATGGAGGAACATTTTTTTTTGTGATTGACAACAAATCCCATGAAAAAGAATGTAGATTTTAAGAATCGTCACCCAATCAACAACTTTTCAGCATTTTCAGCTGTGGATTTGGTCTGACAACGAGACTTTACTTCGATACCAGAGGGATTAAAATATATCGATTTTGCTTCACATTAAAAAGTTGTACGAAGCAGGAAAAAAATCAATGTTGAACATACGGACTGGCACCACACTAACATGGCAAATGGCATAAACTTGCATCAAATCATCAAGTATCGCAACGTGAGAACAAAATGGTTCTCACCCAAATCTGCTAAATTCAAAAACCCATTTCCAAAATCTTCTTTGAGCGTGATTTCTTCTGATCGGCACTGGTTCAGTGAAAAGTGGTCCACAACATCTATGTTACTGGTGTCCCAGTGTGAAGAGAACATAGTATGGACATAGACAGAATATTATTCATTAGGCCTCAACAAACAATAGGTGACCAAAATGTAAATGAAAGGGTTAGTTATTAAAAAAATCTCTTAATATCACTTGACACAAATGGATCATCTAACGCATCTCTGAGTATCTTGGAAAGCCTATTTTAAATTATGGTCATTTGAGAAGCTCAAAAAGTTTATACTTCTATGGTACCTTGGATGTGGCAGCTGCACGTCAAAGGCAGTGAAATCTTCGATCAAAGTAATTGCTTTTAGTGTTGCCTCGAGCCCCTCCTCGGGCAAATCTGTCTGACCTGGTGTTTTGAAAGAGAAACAGAAAAAGAAACATACAACTAAGTACTGCACTTGCAACTAGAATTGGTAAGAAAAGCACTCTGATCTAGCTGAGGAGTTTTCACAGGCATTAAAAGAGCACGATAAATAGACTGCACAATTTATATTTTATAATTAAGCAGCTGCGCTATGGTATTACTATAGGAATTCAGAGATGCTAACTTCATCACCTTGATGTGTGAGTGGTAAAATACTTTTAGCTGAATAAATGTATGCCTGTTTTTGAGATTTTGGGACTGTTTATTCTAATAGTTCAACTTGAGAACCCATAAATGCATATAGTATTCACCCGTTGAGCTCCTGCTCTCCTTCCTAAATAATTGTTGGAATGCTGCCGCAGGTGAGCCGTTACCGTGGTAACTCAGACCACTCTGTCTTTGCCTCACAGCTGTTCCGCATTAGTGGATTACTGCAGTCTGACAGGACCTGCTCTTACAGGCAACAATTCGGAAACCTAATTTTAACACTTTAGATCACATCTTTTAGCTAATAACTTTAAACTAATAAAATGTTTTAACAGTCTTGCTCGGCGAGGGGCAATTACCTCAATCACCTGTTCCAGTTGGGGGAAGGGACTGTGAGCAAGTCCAGACAGGTACAGCGTGAATGCATGCAACATGAAATGTTTGGTAAAGTTTTCGTTTAAATATAAATGTGTTTTAAACAGACATTGGGGACAACCACGGTTTTCCCCATAACCTTACAGGTCATTTAGCTGACACTTTTATCCAAAGCGACTTACATTTTTAACCCATGGCTTTTTAAATATTTTGCCCAGAAAGCAATTAGGGCTTAGGTGTCTTGCTCAGGGACACTTCGACATGGGGCAGCCGGGGCTCGAACCACCAACCTTGCGGTTCCTGGTGCACCCTATTTACTATATAGTTGGCTTTTTAATAAAAGGCCAATTGCATTGGGCCTTTTTAGGTTTCATTTTCTCATGGGGCTTTCTGCTGTGTTGAAGGCAGTGACACAGTGATAAAGCAGCAATCTTGCATATGTTTGTTTTAGTCATATTTGCTGTGATTTGATTGGTTTCTTTTGAAGTGTTCTTTTATATTTTGTGACTATTTACGACTGTGACTGACCTCCCAAATGTTACAAGTTAGTCCCACATGGTCTATTTTCTTTGTTGGTTTGTTTTGATATAGATATTAAGTGAACAGTATTTAATCTTTTTTTATTGAGTTAATTTAATAAACAGTTTCCACTATAGTAGACTTTGGCGCCAGTTTATTCTGGCTCTTGTGCGTACACTACTATAACAAAGTACTAGTATTTATGCTGCTATTAATACTACCACTAATCTTACTACACATGCTACAAGGACTAATAGTATCATGTCTGTATTTTCAGCATTTATTTGAAATGCATTTCAGCTTTCCAAAGCATTTTCTGCAGGAAATTCATTTTCTAGTTTAGTAAAGTAAATATGTTTATGTCACCCTCTGCTGGCTGTCCTCCTTAGGGATTTACTGGTCTATTTGGTAATACAGGTTGTGATGTTCAGTTTCAGTTAAAACTGAGTGGTTTCCTTCACAGCACGATCATTTTGAAGATTTTGTGCTAATCTTGCTGTATTTTTCACTTCAATGAATGCTTCCATTTGGCCATAGTAACTTTTCAGCCAGTCATGTTTCTACAGTGGAATCAACAGTGGACACGGAGAGCATAAACTGGGTGTTTTACCTGGTCTGAATGCCATTTTAATTTTAACCATGGCATCATTGCAGTCTGCAAGGAGATACTTTGCTTTCCTGGAGTAGATCCTCACAACACCAACAAGCAGATGACCGGAGGTCCGCAAACAAAGTTTCATCTACAACGACCACACAAACGTCTCAGACAGCAGCTTTGCACTTCAGACGCAACTTATGATGTTTTGTAGATGTGTCTTTACAGTTTGTTCTTTTTACCTTTGGGGAAATCATGTCTCTGACGGTCGTTTCTAAATTACATTCAAATATATGGTCCTTTGTGAGTTTCCTTTCCCAGTGTGCTGCCAGCCAGATTTTGGCCAGAGGCCCCCGCTTGGAGGTGAAGAGTTGAGTGAAGAATATCATCCTGGAGCTACCTGTGACAATCACAACACTGCCGGATTAGACCCTTTCCCAAGTGTCTGATACATGCTTATTTGTACGACATTAAGAGTATAGTATTCAGTTAAGCTGTTTAATTTATTTAGTGTAATGTTTCTGACGCTTGAGCTTAAACTTCAATGCTCGGAGCGAACTAACGTCAAGCCGGCTAACGTTAGCTCAGGGCCTAAGCTAGCTAACGGTAGCGATGGCTAACATGGTCCCTAGGCTAGCTAACGTTAGCTAAGACTTGTATTTTAAATATGACTATAAAGGCGTAATATAACTTAAGACAGTTATGAATTTAGGTAGCGACTTTAAATGTATGATCCCAGTAATTGTTATTTAACGGGATATCCACACATCGGCCATACAGCAGAGCTTACCTTAACTTCGAAAATGCCGCTCTTTTACGTTTGACATTTGGAGCGTGCGCATCACAGCGAGCACGTCTCCGGGCAGCGGCTCAAGCCCCGCCCCTAGCCCCGCCCCCAGGAAACCTGCACGAGGTAAGTGTGGTTGACCCAAATATAAAATCACCATTGAGCTGTTCGCATCATAAAGGCACATGAGAAAACTAATGTTTATCGGCCAATGTATTAATTACCACCTCACGGTAGCGTCGTTTTGAGCACTTTGCTTTTTTTTGTTCTCGTTCTAGAGCCAAGACGCGATGAAACTCAGAAAAACAGGTCCGTGTGACGCCATTGTTTTTACTGGTATTTATTTTAGGGGAACTTTAAATCCTCACTGTTGCAGTAAATGCATGTTAAGTGGTGAGCAAAGATATTGTTTGTATTTTATATAATATCTATGAGGGTGCAGCAATGGTCAGAAATGTTTGGGCTGCCCCTAGGGAAGTCCAGAGGCTCATCTGTACAGATGTTTTTTATTATCCTTGTTATACAGACAGGTGAAAGTGGGGTGAGGTAAAACATTAAGTTGATACAGCTGTCCCCCTGCTGTGTACACTAGAGGGCGGCATTTCATACCCTACGGTCCCCCAAACACACTGGGCTCGTTTATCAATACCGCCAAGAACGGCCTTGTGTTCTCGGGAGAATAGACTACTTAGTCTGTCGGGCCTGAAGGACGGAGGACTGTCGTTCTGCAATTGGGACAGCAGCTGACTTGATGACGTCAGCTGGTCTTGATTCTGGATTTAAACCAGATGACAACGTGTGTGTGTACGAAAAAAATGATTGTGCCGCTGAACATTACTGGATTATACTGACAGGTGTATCTAATATTTATTCATATCGGACCATACCGTTTACAGTGGTATGAAGTTGTAAAATAAGCTGCGTAATGTAATTGGTTAATTATTTGATTGCATTCATCATAATTGGCAATATTTGATTACCGTAGGAGGAGGACATTGAGATGAACCTGTCGGACACGAATGGACTTCTCAGTCAAGAGGTAGGATGAAAATACCGAAACACTTTCTTTCTCTCCTGCAAACATACTTAAGAAAAACAGTTGTCCTCAAGTCACAATCGAGGCAGCAATGTCAGGCCAAGAATCATTTACAAGTGGGTTTCATGTGAACCGAGCGCCTTGGCTAGTGTTAGTGTGGCTACACAAACATGACGGTCCTGAACTTCGTTTCTTTGAAAACTTTGCTGCCATCATCCTCTTGCATGAAAATGTGTGATTTGGATGCTGCGCAGGTTGAACTATGGGATGGCAAAACTGTATTGTGTCGTCATATTTTTTAACCAATATGGTTCCATCTGTTCCATCTAACGCCCCCCTGTCCAAAATGAACTCACACACATGGTCACAATAATGAAAAGCAAAGGGGGCTACGAAAACTTTACCTGACTGCTGTGTGTGCCCATGTAGTTTTAATCTGAATGTCATGTACCATATTGGTTTTCTTAAAATGATTTCCCTGATTGCATGTCACTGCTACATCTAGGTCTATTGGTTGCCAGCGTTTTTTTCTTTTTGTGCCCTGGAGCAAAATAAATTAGCTTTGCATCGTAGTCAATACTTTATGCATATTTGCTTGGACCTCTTCCTTTCATGGGAGTATTAATTTCCATTTTTATTCCCGTTCAGCTCTGAGAGATAGAAGTGGATCTTGGCAGCAAATATTATATTGTAGATGGACATATTTGAAAGGTTTATCTCTATTTTTTATGTGTGGTTTTCAATGCAGATTCATGTTCATGTTATCTTCAGAAGGATGGCAACCCCCCCAGCTGTAGCTTTGCTGTCATCATAATTTTGGTCAGCGTGCTCAAAAATCCTCCTCAGAAAATGCGTTCTCAGCGGCGGACACAGAAAAAATAGTGTTGCAATAAAATGCAAATATTGCAGTCTATTAAATGAGTCCTTCACCTCAGTGGAAGAACATTTGGCACCAAGTTTAAAATCCATCTACACCTCATTAATTGTTGAGCTGTTTTTTAATGGATCTCTGTATTTTACCTCTAGCAAACAGATTTGACCGTTTATGTAATAAATAATTGGATGGAGAGACCATTTTGCAACTTTATAAGGTAGTCAGTAAGTGCAGTACAATATGAAATATAATGTTTTAGCTAAAATAGTGTTTAAAGGTCAAGCAGCGCATATGCATATTTGGTGTTGTGGGCAGTTGCAGTGTCTTCTGGAAAAACTAATGCTTTAGAGACAAAAGAGAGGAGATCATAAAATATTTCACACCAACAAAGGAATTATAAGTAGTGGCACCACCCATAGATTCCTTTTGTAGAAAATTAGATTGGCACTGAATTTGAACATGGTGACCGCTCATTTAATGATTGATGTTTCCAAGATAAGAAAATCACCGTAGGTTTCTTTTTTGGATCAGAAAAATGGTTAAAAATGAAATGTCCTTGAAACGTGTTACTTTAATTACTCCCCTGCTGTGATGTGTAATAATGTCATTCTAACCCTTTCCCTTAATCCAAAAATATTTAATGAAAGGATTTTATAAACACTCTGTTTTCAGTTTCTCCCCAAAATCAGACCACAACAATTATTCGATATTTTAATTCTTTAGTAACTAAATCTGCACCAAAATTTTAAATAGTTTTAGCTAACGCTGTCGACGAATACAGTTTATTTTCTTAATATACACACAGGAATCCACATTGACAATACCAGTAAAACGGATGCGGTTTGTGTTATGATCTTAAGAAAAACACATCTTTCCGTCAGGTGTGCTTGCTTTTTACAAAATGGACAAATACCCCAAAGTAATTCGTATGCAAGGACCTAATGAGCTGTGACCTATTTACAATTATTTGGTACCTGCACACAAAAAACAACACCCTCTCATTCCTCTTGGTTCCAAAACAGACCTGAAAACATCCAGTGAAATGACCTCCAATGCCGATACTGAACTCTAGTTTTATTTTGTTAGAACGGTTTCGCCTGTGAATCCACAGTAGAATGACCGCAGCGGCACAGCGGAGCCTCTTCAGTAAAATGATCCTGCAAATCCGTCAAAATGAATTCCACCGCTGACGAGGACAAATGTCTGTAGAAACATTCAGGTCCATTGGGGGTTAAAAACCATCCAGTTGTCCTTTTGAGTGATGAAACCTAAACAGAGCTTGATTTTAATTCCACACACTATCCTGTGTAGATAGTGCTTCCTCAGATAACAACACTATCATACATTTATTCACACAATAAATCAACATCTCCCAAATCGTGTTTGTTTTCACCGCCCAGATACTGAACATGTTTTATTCGGACATGAAGCAGCTCATCTTCTGTTGTACGCAACAGAAGATGAGCTGCTTCTGAAATGTCCCTCTTGCCTAATTAACCTCGACGCTGGCGCAGCTTCTCATGTCTCGTTTCCAGCGCCTGCAGAATCCAGTCAAATTGCACATTTCAATTAAACTATAACCAACCTGGTGTGCTCAATGAATTGAGCACACCAGGTTGGTTCCAGTTTAATGGCTTGACACATGACTTTCATGACCGATGACATTGGAGGTCCTCGCAAGCCTGTGTTTTATTATAATACATATATGTAATACATTTATGTATGTGTGTGTAATAACCTTTCGGCGTGTGCAGGCCCTTTGTTGTTCGGTGGAGGTCCTGTCTGGTTTACTAAGTGAAAGAAGGAGGTTGCGCCACTAGAGGAAATCTGCCTGTGGTTTGTCAGCGAGCCGGCTAACTGTCACCTCTCTGTTAGTGGATTCAGTCAGGATGCAGGCCGTCCTCTGGGGCGTCATCACGTGACACGGCGCTGCGTTCTCCGTGCACGCCCCGTAGCTGTCCTGCTGTCCGTTTGATGAGCGCACGGAGACGCTCATGTCCTTGTTGCGCTGCGAGGTCGATCCGAAATGTGCTTTCGGCTCTGACCGTGGACTTCCCCTGTAGATCCTCTGTCTCAACAGAGTAGTGTCTCTGTAGAGACACGCGCGGAAGTTGGGCTTACACAGCAGATAGACCACGGGGTTGTAGATGGTGGAAGACTTGGCAAACATGGCGGCAAGGGCAAATGCATCCGGAGGAACCAGCGTAGCGTCCCCAAAAGCAGCCCAGATGGCCACGACAGCATATGGAGTCCAGGCACCGAGGAAGCCTATACATACTGCCACCGACAGCTGCGGAGAAGAAACATATGCACGCCGTTGTAACCGCGATGCACACATACTGCCAAAACATGACAACAAAAGAAATAAAGCAAACTAATATCGATGCAGCCATCCTATGATTTGAAAGGTACATACACGTTGAAAGAGTCTATACAGATAGTAAAAGCATTTTCATAACCAATGTTGCAACAACCAACTGCAAAACCTGACCTCGTCACACTAAAGCACCACACCCTCGTCTCCTCTGACCTTGACAATGAGAGCGTGCGTGTTGGTGGTTTTGGTCTGTGGTGACACGTGCTGCTGCACGGCCTGCCGCGACCCCCGCACCGTCAGCAGAATGAAGGTGTAGGACAGGAAGATGGTGGCGCAGGGCAGCGCGTAGCAAAAAACGAAAAGGCAGACGATGTAAGACAAAGCGGCGAGCTCGTGGTTGGGCGCGTGCCAGTCGATGCAGCAGGCGGTGCCGTAAGGCTCGGGGCTGTAACGCCCCCAACGCGCCAAGGGCCCGACGGCAAAGACTGAGGCGTAACCCCACACCGCGACGACCAGGAGGCGGGCGTGCGACGAGGAAAACCGGTTACCTGACGGGACAGGAGAGACAAAGAGGTGCTTTTGTGGTTAAAGCGTGATCCCTGGGGGGGGGCGTCATTTGTGATTTATGCTCCGCTCACCGTGGTTGGGGAAGCAGACTTTAAGGCAGCACACAAAGGAGAGGGCCGTGAGGTTGGTCAGGCTGCACAGACCAAACAGTACTCCACACATGGCGTAGAGCTGACAGGTGAGTTCTCCAAAGAGCCACCTGCACACGGAGACGAGGACAAAAAGAGGAATGCTACAGGTGCCTGAGATGCAACTAGCAAATTTTAATGTGAAGAATGCTTTCTTGATTCATTGTTTGGTCTCCGTAAGGCCCGGGGTGACTTCTTTGTATGTTTTTGTATTTGAATAAGTTGTGTCAGAACAGCTGTCCAAAATCCAAATATAATAAAGTAAAATGCAAAGAAGACAATTACAACAGTTATGCTTTTTAGTGAAATATTTGCTTATTGAGAGGGGACAAGAGGTGTGACACCTGTGTTTAAAAGCTGATGGAATTGCCAGTGGGAATAAAGAGAGCGTCATGCCAAGGTCGCTGATGGAGAGATTGATGATGAAGAACTCCGCTGGTTTCAAGGTCGACCGCTTGTGATATGCAACAAGTAGCAGAATGCAGTTGCCCACGAGGGACAGGACGCCTGTAAAGCAAAAGAGAGATTGATCGTGGGCGGGACACGGCGCACCTGCAGCTTTTCTTGTTGTGGACTTACAAAAGACGCTGTAGAGTGAACCCATGAGGATGTCGCGTTCCTTGGAGATGGTGGAGGCAAACACGGCGGATGTGTCTGAAGCATTTCCCATCTGAAATGTCGTTAACATCACCACACACAAGTTAATGGTGAATAATGCCTGCACTTCACACGTTTCGGGCTTACCTGAATACACTCGTGGGAGAAAATGTATTGTTGAAAAATACCTTTTTGAGTTTTTTGGTGCCGTTCGTGTTCATATTTGTCACGGTGACACACACATATTCATACACTGATTGGAGCGGCTTTCCAGCCAATAAAAAACACATTTCTATGTTGTTGTTCTCCATGCAGCTAAAATGCTCTCTGTAATAAAAGATGTGTCGTCTTACGATATCTGTTGTGTAATACTTTCAGTCCACAGCTGTACAAAATTAGATGAGAAAGCTTCTTTTATAAGAACATAATCCTGTGCAAGAGACAAGGACAATCCGAATTAAGTATAAATGTACATAACGACAGATGGAAAGAATTCGAAAGACTAAAGGACAAAGACGATGCCTTTTAGGATTTTAAAAAGCTGCATTAGATGAGAGATTTTGAGCTTGAGAACCAAACAAATCAATGAAGATTGTTTTAGAACAAACTCTAATGTCCCACAATGCAAGCGGTCAACACACACAATACCAGGACACATTCTTAGAATACCAAGCTCAAATATGTACCGTGTAGATTGTTAGGAGAATCTACATCGTGTCCTCTCTGCAACGGTCGTAGTATGTCAGAAGCACTCAAGCTCTTTGTAATGCGGCAGCCACCACAACGAGGCGATCGCCCTCTTCTCGCCCTGCCATCCAGTAAGGCCGAGATCCTCCTTGTGGCAGTGGCAAGTGGGTGGCATCAAACTTGAGAGCCCCACCCCCTACACGGAACCCGCCGGTCCAAACCTAAAATTAGCCTTTGTAATAAGAAGACGGGGGCTCTTGTGTCTCAAATAAAATTAAATAAAATTAAATATTTACAGCAGCTGACCTGTCGTACAAATAACAGTTGTTTCTGGAAAAAATTGGCTCCTCCCACCCAGCGTGCCGTCGTGACGCCGACTGATTTACTGGCGATTGCCGCTGCCTGTCACAAAGTTGCCACCCACTTGCCACTGCCACAAGGAGGATCTCGCTGTCACTCCTGCCATCTGCGAACGGGATGATGGTCGCTATTCAGCACACCACTTTGCAAGTTAGAAATTTTTAAAATGAGATGAAAGTCAGGGAGGAATGCAGCGTGCATGGAGGAATGTGGAGCAATACGTGAAGTGCCATCTGAGATGGTACATTGACTCTCGATGACCCGGGATAAAGAGTGAGGCCTCGTTACTATGCAAGTCAGCACGGCAGTCAATGACAAAATGTCCCGTCAGTCTGCGAGCAGGAGACACAGCAGACGACGTAGTTGTGATCTCATATCCACGAACTCCGCTGTGATGTCACCCTGAGACCTGTGCAGAGGAGGATTCACCTCGTGCAAGCTCCTTCTCAGGAACCGCCTTGCATGGAAGATTTAGACCTTTGCACAAAGTGTGGAGACACATTTTCCATCTAAAGTGTGCTCCTCTCTAAGCTTAACTGCCCCGACCACATCTGACTGGGCTTTATTTTGGCGTGAGTGGAATCGGTATTGTCTAACAAATGAACGAGCTAAAGTTCCGGTCAACTGTACCTTGATGTGATCTTTTCAGTCCCGATACACAAGCGTCCTGTTTCGGTGGAGCACCAACAAAATACCAGGGTTTAATAATGTGTATGCCATGGCCTCACTTTGGGGAATAGACTTAGATCATTCTCACGTATGTAAGAATCACTACAACGTTGCTGTTATCGTTTATTTTTTAAATAGCTGAATAGATGTGCTGAATTGATTTTAAAATAACTGCATCGGATGTCAGATCCAGCCGTCAAATGACCTTTGCCACGTGGATGTGAAACCAGAGGGAGGAGGTGCAGGTGAAGAAGCGGGAGGAGCTTAAGCCGCTGACTCGTTCCACTGTGACAGATTAAGTATTTTCAGTCTGGCTGAAAAACTCTTCTGCCCAGCTGTGATTAATTTGACATTTTTTGAGATGGCGACCTTGACCTCCAGATGATGATGTAAGGGCGTAAACTACATATCGCTTGGTGACTTGGTTTATGTCCTCGCCCTTACCCATTTATAGTCCTCTAGAGTCTCCACTGAGACGTCTTGTGATTTCCTGTGGAACGAAGCGTGCCAAGTAATCTCTTACATTTCTGGCGAGGTTCCCGGCGGTGTGTCATCCGTATTGTGAGATCAGTTTGATGCCACTGAAACTCGTAACATTTAAACGGGCGCGGTGGGAGGAGACGTGCGGCTGTTTAATGGATGAAGGGCACGGCTGGATGTCCACGTGTGTGATGTCATGAGCAGTGACTATCGCAATGCACGCTTTACGGCGATTGGCAGCTACATTTCACCGTTGTTTGAATCTGTTATTGTGTGTGTTTTATGTATGACATTGCCTTTCCTTTAGCCTGTTGTTGTGACACCCAGCCCTCATAGTTAGGACAGTTTCAATCATAAAGCATTTGAACGTCTGTGTGTAAAGCGTCGCGTTGTATCTTTTATGCTTTGGTTGATTCACGTCCTTTTAACAATGACATGTTTTTCGAGGCAATATTGGACATTTCTTATTATGTATGCTGTTATATATTATAGAGAGGCTAAAACAGTCATATTGTTAATCTTTTTTTTACATTGCTTTGTTTGTTGGCGCCTTGCAGTTTTTGGCAGGCTTATTTAGTGTTAGTTTGATGCAAATGTCCATGATAGGGCTGCAACTAATCACCGTTTTCCATTATAGATTAATCTAATTACTTTCTCTAATGAACTGATTCCTTTATTCTTCTCTGGAAAATCGAGAAACCTCCTCATAATTTACCGGAGCCCAGATTCAATCAATCTTCAGCTTGTTTTTTCCAAATGTGTAAAACCCAAAGTCATTTTGTCTAATATCACAAATGCCAAAGGAAAAACATCAAATATTCACTTTGCTTTGAGGAATAACTTGCAACGCTCTGCATTTTTGCAACATGTTACTGAAAAATTTGTTTCTTGAATCAATTAATGGCTGTAGTCCGTATTTGTGTGTACTATTTTACATTACATTACATGTCATTTAGCTGACGCTTTTATCCAAAGCGACGTACAATAAGTGCATTCAACCATAGGGTACAAACTCAGGAGAACAAGAAACAATAGAAACTATTTGCATCATTTAGCATTTCATTGAGCATTGTGCAACATGTATGACACTCAGTGTACACATCCCCCCCCCCCCCCGAGGGCCCTGTGTGACCTTTAGTCAGGTCGACGTAGACTAAGGACTCACCCCGCTGCGTCTAACTGCCTCCTCGTCTGCCTGACTGACAGTGACAAGTGATTGCTGCCCCCGTACAATATTTACACTGTGGCTGAGCAACATGACAAGAAGAAGTTGGAGGCGACTGTACAAACCTCGCGGGGGAAATTCTTATGTAATCACCGGGGAGTGTGACCATGTGACACGAGCGCTCCCCTGGCGGTCCACTCACACTCGTTTTATTTAACACGTGGCTTTGGCTTCAAGCAAATTACAATCTGAAATGTATAGTTGACCGTGTTGATCATTTCAAACAAATTATTTAAAATATCAACTTTTAAGTACTCGGACGCAAACAATACAAACGCTGGTAATTTATTTAATTTATTTATTAATGTCCTAAAGGTTAATTGGAGAATGTGGATACCATGTTTAATGTTTCTTCATTGACTGAAACTCTAATCTTTTCTACGGGAACAATATCAGACACTAACAATGTACAATAGATATATGAATTGAACAATTCTATCCCCTTAGTAATTCATTTTACCATCACTGGACCACAACTGCGTCACCCTCGTTACACAAACTTATAACAAAACCACATTGTGTGTGTGACTCAGCGTCTCTGTGTCTCATTTGTTATTGGACTCTGAGCTTCGTTTGAAGGTCATTCACTCGGTCGAATCATAATGTATCTAATAAAAGACATCGTACTGTGGCATCATTATTCACTCAACACACACACGGAGTCTCTGTTGTGTCCGTGTGGGTAATAAGAAGAGGCACTTCAAAGAAACTATTCCTGTGTGGTAAACCGCCCGAGATTAAGTCAACTGGCTGTGTTAAAAACGGAGAGAATATTGACAACTTCAACTAAAAGATGTTTCTTTTTTTTCCAGAGAGGGATGTTTGGTGACCTCATCACTAATCCCCTCAGATCAGACAATTTATCTGTGTTGAATGGGCCTTTGTTTCATCCGCACAATCCGCTCTCCCTTCTTTGAGACGTCATTTGAACCTCGACTGACTGACTGTCACTAACCACTAAGGGAGCAACCATCACCAGTCCAAATTAACTAGCAGACCTTTGCCCAAAGAAAGAAGGAAGGAAAAGACAGCATTTATTTTTATTCAAGAGTCCTGTCAGCTGCCAGCCACCATTTGAAAACCTCAATTCAATTTGGGAAATTAGACCTCATCTTCATCCTAAATCATCCTGCATTTTCTTATTGTCAAATATCTTTTCACTGCACTGGAAAGAGAAAGCCGCCTCGCCGTGGTGGTGCTTACCTTCCAGGGAGGACTGTCTTGTCCTCAGTTAAACTCATGGAAGCCAGGTGGAGGGCAGCGAGGAGAGGAGAGGAAAGCAGAGGAGAGAAGTGATGCTCGGCCAGCCGCCGCCGGGGAGACAGCGAGAGAGAAAGGAAGGAAACGAGGAGCGCAGGAAAAGTCTGGTTGAGGTATTTTTCTCGCGTCTTCGATGGCACACTCGCAGACACCCGGCCAGGTGGACTCGCACTCGCTCCCTCACACGGAACATGCACTCCTCATCGTCGTGGAGATGCACTGAGCCCCACCGATGGAAAAAGAAAAAGCCCACAGTGACAGCAGGCCAGTCGGGGAGGGCGAGAGATATGGAGGGAGGGAGAGAGAGAGAGAGATATGGAGAAAGGGATCAGCGTAATACTGGCAGTGTCACTGATGACTCAAACCACCGCTCCCCACCCTTTTCCCCTCGATCCATCACTACTTTCCCACTATACTTATCCCCTACACTTTGATTCGCCTCGACGCTTTGGATTATTCGCCTCCTTTGGACGTGGGAATCAAGCCTTTTTTTAAATGAATCATGCACGTGAGGTTGGCTTCTCAAAAGCTCTCCTTCACGGTAACACATGTGAGCAAAAGGTTTGTGTTCATACTTCATCGATCAGCAATTGTAACGCTGGACAATCACATCCTGGAGGAGAGAGAAATGTAACCATGTCATGGCGGGTTTTTCTTTTTTTGATCCTTTTCATCATTTGGAGGATTTTCTCTCTGAATATTAAAAAGAGAATATTGATAAAGTAGGATGTTCATGTGAAGCGGTAATTTAAAAGGTGAACGTCAGAGGGATAAAAATGATTGTAAAATTTCAATACAAAAAATGTTTTCTTATTTGTCAAGGCCGCTTATGGCCGTGTTCATCGGGCTCCTAATGGTTCACAGTAAAGAAATTGAGCCGCTCCCATATTTTATTATTATAATATATTATTTATATATATATATATATATATATATGTGTTATAATTGTGCTCAGCAGCTGTCCTGTTGCCATTCTGGTAATACATGATTATGTTGGAATGCATTGACAATTAAATGTTTCATGCATTATTTGCGACTGGAGTGCGATCTCCTATTGTTCTTAATTCAAGACTCCAAACTGAATATTACAGCCGCTTAATAAAGTGACCTGTTCACACAGTAAAGTG